CTAGTTTTGGTTTTCCCGACCTGTCGATGCGCTGCTTGGCATACATATTTTTAAGATTATTAGTCGAGAGTAATAATATTTGTACCATATAATTTATATACATTGGTATTTCTAAGTTACGTAACTATTTACAACAGGCACTCTTAAGGAAATATTTCCTAAAACTGTTTTATACAGATCCATCTTGCATCCTGAGCACATTCCTTCCAGGACCATTAAAAAAGTAACATCTTTCCTAAGATCACCCGAACAAATTATAGAAAATTCCGGCCAAGTCATTCGATCAAATTATAGATCCGTTTATACCTCGACGATCCCATAAACAACCCGTAACCAAAAAAGCGGAAGAAAACAAACAGCCAACAAAATAAACGCTGGATGAAATACGACAGCATAAAACGCATGAAAAGGACATTAAACCTGAAGGACCACAGATCGTAAAAGTACAGTATTAAAAGCCGACCTCATATAGAATAATGCATGAGCAACTCCCACCGAATTCCCGATTTTGAAACAACTTTTTGGCTGTTGGTCGAAAGCTAACGGCGAGCCGAACAGATCCTTAATGCAAACACCCCCTAATCCTGGCGGAACTTAATGCCCAGGACCTTCGTGTGGACATTTGTTACTGCCACCACACAGGGGTTGTTAAAAAGAGAGGGGCGAGCGTCCAAAGAAAGAGACGGGTGCTACAGCACAGCTACACAAAGAGAGGGGGCGAACAGAAGAGCCGTTGAGCGATTGCTGTGCAGCAGGAGCAGATGTTTTTCGCGGCAGGATGACGATGCAGGATCGGTGGCGATCAGCGACCCCAGCACGGGACACGATGTACACGGAATACTACTATATATTCTATATAAAACGGCACAAAGGGCATTAGAGCGGGAAGGGGCTAACGGAGGGCCAGAAGAGACATAAATGCGAGGGAGACCCAAAAGACCGGGCTCTAAACCGGTCGATCGATGTCCTGCAGCAAAACTCCTGCAAAAGCAAAAAAAAAAAAAAGGACGTATTACTAAAACTTAAGTCAGTCCAATAAATTATAAAAAAAAAACAGTTTAAAAACAACATTCGCTTGTTTCATTTAAATAGAAGAAAAATAAAATAGGAGAACAAATTTTGTTTTAATTAAATATTTTTTTAAAGCTTATTGGAATTGTAAGTTATAAAATGGAAAACGTAGATAATATAAAATGATTTTCAAGCTTTAAGCTTACTCATGTTTATGTTCCATTTTCTTGCTGTGTACTGCTTTTTGTAAATATTTACGCCCTGAGCGATATATGGCCAGATTGGATAAGGATCGGGATCAGGATCGGATAGGATAGGAACAGGACCTGGCCCAAAAACAGAGGGAGCGGTTGAGGGAGAGTGTGAGCGGGAGAGGGAGCAGAAAATGAAACAAGGATAGGCAGCCCAGCCCGACCAGGACGCGGGCAATTCATTGTTGTTTGTCAACCCCCGAAAAGCGCGCCAAGGTACCCCGAATACCGAATAGTGCCACATACATTTACTCACGGGGTTCTGCACACAGGAAAAACCGCTTACCTTGTGATTTAATGATCTCAGATTCATAGGTTTCCGAAATATTCGACCAAATGTGATTTTTTTTCTGTGTATAGAGGGTCCCAGGTAGAGAGGAATACAAATACAAACGCAAAGTCGCTCAAACACTCACGCACACTTATGTAGAGCAGGGCACGTGCGCAGGCGCACAATAACAACTCAACATTCCATTCAGCTGCGTTCGACTTTTTAGGGAAATTTATAATTTTCGCTTTTCATTGTTCTAGAAACGATACAGAAACTGGACGAAAACTCACACTTTTGGCGCATGCCAAAGGGCAAAGTTTTTCACCGCGTAAAAAATAAGAAAGCTAAATATTTTTCAATAAAGATAATATTTACGGAAAGCTTTATGTCTTAATGTTGTTCAAAGATTGTCCTTAAATAATTCTTTTAAGCCCTTCAGGCAGTTCTTTTAAGATTTCTAATTGACACTCCGTTGATCCTTAAACTCATTTGGAATCGAGAACTCTGTCCCAAAACTGTTATCCCCCGCCGAGTGATCCCTTTGTGAAGCTCTTCGCCTTGGTTCTGTCACTTTTCTCAGGGGGCTGCTTGATCCCATAGTTATTTCGAGGACTTCCACAGCGAGACTTCCGTTGCTTCAAGTTTCCGCCACTCATAAATCCAAGAACGAGAAGCAAGTAAGGCGATTTATGAACGCACAACTGCGCACAGATGCCGAACGAGCGAAGGATCCTGAAGGATCCTGAAGGAGCCACTTGAGCCGACGACAAGTACACAGGACATGAGGGCTCCAGGACTACTCGTTTGTATACCCATTCAATCGGCGCCTTCCTCCGGTTACACAGAATATAATAGGGAAAACAAGAGAAAAAGGAAAAGCCAAGCCAATTTGATGACTGGGGATCAAAGTCAAAGTGCTTTGAATGCCTTGCCTGATTGATTTACGGCGAACGAGTGTGAACCCCCTAAAAAAATATAGAAGAGTCTTCCCAATGAATATATATTTCCCATGTGTCTGCCACTCCTTTTTGCCTACCGCTTTCACTCCCATTTCGAATTTCACTCATCATCTATATTCATATTTCTTTCGTTTCCTTTTTTCCCATTCAGCATTTCTTTCCCATTGAAATCGATGCGTTTTCGAAATGCAAATAAACCAAAAATCGTTGGGGCGATTGCCAATCCCAAGAACAAAATTAGTTTTTGTTTACCCAAATTGTTGTTTTTTCTCAAGCCGCCAAAGATGAAAGTCGAAATGAAGTGAAATGAAATTTTGAAAAAATAAAAGATCGAATGCAAGGATGAGAGCACAGGATGTAGTTCTGATTATTAGCTTGGGAGTGGGAAAAATTAATTTTTTTTTAAATAAGAATAGCTTTCAAAGGTTCTTTTTTTTCTAAATACATAATATTTTTTTTTACTCCCCCGCCTTCGGAAATCTTCTTATAATGTAATTAATTAACGCAAGAGGTAGGCGAGGTATGATAACATCTTAAACTGCCAGAAATATGGAATGTTCCCCTTATATAATAAATTCTGAAATTCCCCTAGAGATCATCACAGATTTCTCTACATATGCATCTCCCCTAACTGAACTGAACTTTTCGGAGAGAAGCGAGCAGCATTAATGAGACTTCCCAACCCTGTTGGGAGTCAGACAAATTATAATTCTTTCGGGGTTGTTGAATGGCAACAAAAAATAATCATTATTATTTATTTATGATTATTATTTTTTCCAAAGTTCAGCTGGGTACAATATATGATTGCTTTCCCTTTCTGTTTAGCTCAAAAACAGCAACGGCAAATTAAAAATGGGAGTTTATAGACAACATTGGTATATGTTGATTAGTTTTACGCATCCTGCTTGTTTTTCGAACATTTTTCCACAGTGTAGGATGGGAGTGGAAGGAGCAGGGGGCAATCCCTCGACAGGCGTGTCGTGTCACGTCGTCAAAGTGGGACGCAACCGAGTCAAAGCCTCGAAGGACAACAAAGGATGCCGAACAGCAAGGACTCCACGGAACTCGAAAACGACTCAGTACGCACAGCCGTTGACTCCTTTCCCATTGACAAGCCTGTCTGCATATTGCGAACCGAGGATCGTCGGGATCCTGGATCAAAAACCGGTAGTCGGCAGTTGAATTACCCTTCGCCCCGCCGGCGATCCTGTGCTCAAGTCCGTTTCCTTGAACCTCTCAAGTGAACTCAAGTTTATAAATTGTGCAGCAAGTACTACACACATTTACTCCTCTATATACTCAGGTCTGTAGGAAACTACCTGAGAACCCGGACCGAAAAAACTTTATTGTAGCACACACACCGAAAACTAGTTTCCACAGACAGACCTAAGCTTACCGAAATACAAAAAAAAAAGAAAACGAACTAGACTACCGGTAAAAATATATTTTCCCACCAGCCTAATTGCCGAAGATTTTTATTCTCGACGAAAAAAAAAGAAGTATAGTAAGTAGCTAGAGAAGAGATGGGTGTTCTCACCCCTCGAACGATTCGGATCGGCTCTCTAGCATCTTGTCAATTTTAATTAGGATTTATGGGCGAACAAATTCGCCAGGATCTTGCTTCTCGCCTTTTAATTTCCCTTAATTAGCTCGACAATTGGCAAATGATTTTGCACAATGCCGGTCTTGATTGGTTTTACTTTCTTCTTTCCACGATCCGGGAGTTTTCACACAAGAAAGTCCTGCAGGACAGTCTATCGATTAGGTGAAAAGTTGAGTGAAACTGACAAGTCGTTGATTCGATGAAGTGTGGAAATAATGCTGTTCTGGAAAATATTTCTGGGAATGTTCGTGAAAGTTTTGTTTCATGTGAAAGTAAGTCGTATAGTGGAATGTATAGTATTTTAGATCCAGAGATGCTTATCCTAAAATAACTTTTTCTCTAAGATTTAAGCTTTAAGGATTGCTTCTTCTTACTGCTTGAATAGCCAATTTATTTGAAACTTTTCAGAGGTTTTTTTTCGGGGGACCAAGGTGATCTATGAGAGCTGAGTGTAGGAATTCAAGGTGCTGGCTGCCCGAACCACTACCTTCTCGCCTCCAAGGATCTCCTGTACATTCTCAGGTACCTCCGATACCAGGGCTGCCAAAGCTCCCCCGACTATATGTTTATCGTCGTATATATGGTTATTACTATATGCATATATATCCAGAGGGGCGGTATATAAACACGCTGTTTTCAAAACCCAATAAATAAGAAGAGAGAGCGGGGCGAAATCCACCCTTAAACCAGGTGGAGTTTTTGGCTCGAGTCGATCAGATGTTAGTTTTCCCAAAAGCCGTACCCTACATCATGTATATGTGAGTGTGAGTGTGTGAGTGTGCGTTTTGAGCGATCGAGGGAAGAAGGACAACACCCCAGTGTAGGGGATGAAAAGTCAGGCCTTTTACATAAGGGATACGCAGGACCTCAAATACCTCACAAACTGTATGTGTGTGTCAGTCAACGAAGTCACTTCCGTTGAGTTTGCTTTTAGTTCGAGTTCGGAGTTTCGGGGCACGCGACACAGAACGCCAGCAGCTGTCCTGACGCAAGGACACGAAAACCACATTACATCAGTCACCTTTAAGCAGTCGATCAGGCAACAACGTGCTCCAATCCACAAAAACACCCGCAACGCCCACAAATTCTTCCCGCGGAAAGCAAGTAGGAACCAAAGAAGCTGAGCATGGCTGCCCTGAGCTTCAGCCCACCGCCGCCTCCCAAGGAGAGCAAGGAGAATCCGGCGCCAGGACTGAAGGCCACCCTGAAGCCCTTCGGCAAGATCACGGTTCACAATGTTTTGAGCGAGAGTGGCGCCAACGCCTTGCAGCAGCACATCGCCAATCAGAACACCATTATCCGCAAGATCAGGGACTTCGGCATGCTGGGCGCGGTTCAAAGTGCCGCGGCGAGCACCACCAGCACCACGCCAATACCCAGTCAAAGGAAGCGACCACTGGGCGAGTCCAAGCAGAACCAGCAGAACCTGCCGAGCCTGCAGAGTCTGCAGAACCAGCAGCCACCCACCAAAGCTCCAGTGCCTGCCAAGCGAACAAAGACCAGCAAGAAGTCCGCTGTGGAGAAGCCACCCAAGGCCCCAGCTATGCCAACGCAACCCAGTAAAAGCCAAGCGGAGCCAGCCAGTTTGGGAACGCCGGGCAGGAAGGGCTTGCCCCTGCCCCAAGCCGTGGCGCGTAGAAATGCCCGCGAGAGAAACCGAGTGAAGCAGGTCAACAATGGGTTCGCTTTGCTGCGCGAGAAGATTCCCGAGGAGGTCTCCGAGGCATTCGAGGCCCAGGGAGCGGGCCGGGGAGCCAGCAAGAAGCTGTCCAAGGTGGAGACCCTCCGCATGGCCGTCGAGTATATAAGGAGCTTGGAGAAGCTCCTTGGCTTCGACTTCCCCCCGCTCAACAGTCAAGGCAATAGTTCTGGTTCCGGCGACGACAGCTTCATGTTTATCAAGGACGAATTCGATGGTCTCGACGAGCACTTCGATGACTCCCTGAGCAACTACGAAATGGAGGAACAACAGCCGGCAGTACAAGCTCTACCACTGGAGAATCAGAATCAGAATCAGAATCCCCCGCAGACCAGCAACGATCTCCTGCCCAGCTTAACCACTCTGAACGGGATGCAGTACATCAGGATACCGGGGACGAATACCTACCAACTACTAACCGCCGAATTATTGGGCAGTTTGAGTCAGCAGGAGCAGCCGGGAACAGCTGCCAGCTCGGGCCAGTTATCGCGATCGCCCGTGCCACAAAAGGTGGTGAGCAGTCCCTGCTCGTCGCCGGTTTCACCTGTCGCCTCGAATGAACTGCTATTGCAGGCGTGTGCCTCCCAGCTGCAACAGCAACTGATCAAACAGGAATACACCAGCGCCAGCAGCAGCAGCAGCAACATAAACGACATCAACATTAACAACAACAACAGTAGCAACAACACACTGAGTTCCCCGCTGCAGCAGCAACAGCAGCAGCAGGTTCAGATCCTGGTATCCTCGCCCGTTTTACCTGCTTTCTACGACCAGGAACCCGTTAGCTTCTACGACAACGTGGTTCTTCCCGGCTTCAAGAAGGAGTTCAGCGATATCCTCCAACAGGAGCAGCCCAACAATACGGCCGGCGGTTGCCTCTCCGACGAGAGCATGATCGATGCCATTGACTGGTGGGAGGCACATACGCCCAAGTCCGATGGGGCATCCACCAATCTGTCGATGTAGCCAAGTTGAATACCAATCGCAATTCTCTTGAGTGTTTGAAACCCTTCAAAAGAGGTGTTGTTAGTCCAGAAATATATTTTAGCATACTTTTCAACACCCTATGAAGCGATTTCAATCCCTAGAGATCTGTCGTATTTTATGTGTATGTCAATAGTTTTTTTTTTTAACCAAGCCTTGACTGAGTCATATTGTAAATAGCAAATAAAAAAAGGAGTCTAAGAAAGAACGAGAATATAAAAGTCATCTAGTGATACAAACCAAATCTAAGACCCACCCACAAAATAGTTGACCTGATAAAGAGCTAAATGTTGAGCCAGTCCTAGTTTATAGTCTTTTCCAACAAACTATATTTTTTTAGTTACTTAAGAGCCCAATTTTTTTTCTTAGATTTAATTGTACGAATGTTGAGTTGATAAGCAAGGAAATATGTATGCCTCTGAATATAAAGCAAATATATACGAAAAGTTGTGAAAATCAAAGTTATTGTTGTTCTGGTTTTGTGGGGTATTATAAATAATTTGATTAACGGCTTTTTAAGTATTTTATCATTTAAAGATCCTTCTTTATTTAAAGATCGGACGTATTTCTCAAGGCTCTGATCCAATGACCGTTTTGCTTACTATATAAGGTTCCAAAAATAATAGCTAATGTCTGGAAAAAACGCACATTCAGGATCAAAAAAACAAAAAAAACTAAATCGAAATATCATGTTAATTTTAATTAAGGTCCAACCATGCAAAAGGGCTCGCCGCCTGATGGATAGATAGAGAGCGAAAGAAGGACTCAGGGGATATATTTGCATATGCACTCAGCAAATTAATCAAATCATTTTCTAAAATTACAACAATTTAAGAAAATGTTTTAGAGAACAAAATATTTTCCTGTTCCAAAAACTTTAAAGTAACTTTAACTTTAAAGTAAAGTAAAGTAAAATATTTTTATATCTAACGCCGATGTTAAGGTGTTTTTTTCAGTGTGGCACAGGGGGTAGCTGATCCTGCAAGGCACTGCGCTTCAGTGCCCCGATATTCAAATGAGCCTCATGTCCTGATAAATGACAGTGGTATATGCGAGATATTCGAATGCCGATTTTGTAACCCTGCAACGTGGGAATCAAAAATGGGAACTGTGCTGCAAGTGTCCAGAATTCGAGTGTAACGGTTCGGTTTAAACATGTGCCCCGGTCCTAATGACGCAAGTAATTAAAATGCAGAAACTGAGGGAGGAGTAAGCACTAGGGAGGTAGGAAAAATGGGAGTAAAGGGAGTAACGACTCGAGGGCAAGGATCTCACTGCATATTAATTAGGGATTTAACCAGGCAACCGCAAACGCAAATAGATTACCTCTAAAAAAATGCAGGATCTCAAATGTCATAATCTCGAAATTCTCGATCCTTAGATGGAATCTTTGATCGATTAGGTCACGTAAAAATGTCTGAATGCTGTTTAGATTTACATAAATGATGAGAATCTCCTATCAAGGAAGAAAGAAAAGTTTTTTGGTCCTTAGTATTTCAATGCATTAATTTAGCTTAAAAAATAGGAAAAGAAAGATTAAAGTATTCTTTTGTTCATAGTTTTCAACGAAATATATACTTTTGAAATATATATAAAGTAGCAAAATCTTGACTGCTCTCCGCATTATTTACAAAATATTTTCTCACCCTCACGCTGACTTGGCGCTAGACCCTCCTGGCTAATTGTATGCAGGACCTTATTGTCATGTGCCTACGTGTCCTCCTAACTGTCTTCCCTCTCACTTCGCCAGGACAGCTGCCCAAGCAAAACAAAAACCAGAGAATAAGCAGAGAAAAACGCGCCAATCCAAAGATGATGCAAAATTATCCAAGACGCCCGAACAATAAGAAAAATCAATTGAAAATCGTTTGGCCATTAAGAAAAGGTGGCCTGTGCCACAGGATCTGTCGGGATGAAGTGCATCTGCGGACCCTGAAACACGAAACGCACTGCGAAAAAAATTCTCATATAAAGGAAAATACTGCTAAATTAATGTAAAGCTATTAATGCAACTCAAAATTATGTAGTTTAAACAAACAAACAGACAAAAATCGTACCTTTGTAATCTTACTAATTTCTTAATCAAGAACTAATTCATATTCTGAACTTAAGAACATTTGGTCCCAGAACTTTTTTTTGTGTGTATTTGTTGGCCTGATCCCGAGCTCCTGAGATCGCCTACAACCCCCTTTTTCCTCGAGCAGTTTCCAGTTTCCCAATCCAGGTGCAAAGGTATTTTCCGAACGTTCTTTTTTTTTTTTTTTTGTTTATGTGGTGGGTGACCCGTTCACCGTTAGCAGTGAAAATCTTTTGCTCGCACCGTTATAATTATTAAATATTGGTAATGCGACACGCTCTTTAACCGTACACCTTCGATTTTGGATCGCATTTCGCAGTTTTACCGTTTCGATTCGGAAATCATTGCCGTTAGTTCGATTTCTTTTTTTGATCTTGGTGAATGCGAAAGGCTTAACGAGCAGATGAGAGATCCCAAAAGGGATTTGAAATCCGCTCGTGTCCTTCGATCGGAGGATTTGGTTTCATAGCCCCGGGTGCCAGTACCGCTTTTAATTTTCCCCGTCGTTATGCCTTTTGGGGTCACGCCTCCACATGTCACCATTGAATATTCATAAATCATTGAGTGTAATAATGAGTTATTACTGGATACCCTTGTGTTTTCAGTTCATTTAGCGTGTGCGCATGCTCATACCGTTGACTTGATTGGGCTGGCTGTCGTCCCCCGCTTTCCTCCGATCCCCCGATTTCTGGGCATATTGCATTACCATTATTCCGACAGCCAGGTGCTTAGCTCTGACCCGATCGAACACGAGCTGGCTGGTGGGTAACATCGTATGTAATTGCGACAGATGACATAAAATACGGTATAGAGAAGTGTTCTTTAAAGATTGGATACTTAATTGTTCATGAAACGAACTAAAAACGATAGTTTCACTAACTATATAAAAAGGTTTAAAAATTAATCTTCAAGATTAGATGACTGCTAAGCAGAAAATTGGTCAAAGGGGACCCATTCATAGTCGGATTCATTCATGTTGGTCAAGTTAAGTGCTTAAAGGATTTGGCCACGTACTTCAGTGTCAGACCCTCTGATCCTGCGTGATCTAGTTTCATTCATAGATTTCAGTGATACAGCTTCATTCAGATCTGATTTCTTAACCCAGTTCCCCGGCTTAAAGATATGCTGCTCTGGCAATTATACTATTTCTGTGGCTTACGAAATTTACCACAGTCTAAGCCGAGCTACTTAAACGTAAGCAGCTTCTTGTGGCTTTGCTTACTTTCCATAGTCTGAAGTGTATTCCGATATGCTATTTTCCCATAAAGTGGACGTACTTCAGTCCACAATGAGGCACTTAAGTGTGTGCTTTGTGCCTAAAAACCTTAAGCGGTTAATCTAGCGAATGGGAACCAGGTCAAGAGGATAACACCGGACAACAAGCAGGTTAACACTTTTTGCAACCGCCTGTGGTTCACCTAAGCCCTCCGCCCTTAATTCTTTCCCATTTTCCACTTCAACCAAAGATGATCTTGCGTATGGCTGCGGCTGACAGATCCGAGTTAATTTCATTCATGACTCGCGTCCTGGTTCCATACTGTACTATTCTTAATATCCTATCCCCAAAACGAAAGGCATAAGGACAACATATGTGGCAGTCGTCGTTTTCGAATTCCAGTTTTAGATGCATTAATTGAAACTGCTCCAAAGGCTGGCTGCACATGTTTGTTGGGACGTTTTCCCCGATGTCACCAAATCCACGTGGGTCTCGTACACTGTATTCTCGAAACTACATTCCCATGTTTTGACTTAGGCACCCAGGGTGGCCACAAGGACAATTCCCAGACCGAAATGGAGTACCCAGCATTGAGTCATCAAACGACGAACGATTGTATGACAACACACAATTTTGACACATTCTGTCTGGCAAATTCAATGGGCACTCCAGGAAGCATTGGGCAGTTTTGCATTGATTGAGATGTCTTTGCACTCAGTTCCTTGTTCGATAATTCCCCGAGCTGTCTCTTCCTCTGAAGCTGTTTTGTATGCAACTTGAAGCAGACAAGGCTCCTGTTCATTCCGGGGACCCCAAAAAAGAAGTACTTCGTCTTGGCTAGGTGTGGGGTCCTTCAGAGAAGCCATCACAATGAGGCCACACGAAGACCAGCCGGAAACAATCCAAAACAACGCCCGTTCTAAAGGATTTCCTCAGGACAATTACCAGAATTTAATATAATATATTTGAAATGTAAAGGGAATTTGTAATGCTAAAATGGAGAGTACAGTATTCCTGGGTATATATAATTATATAGGATAAGAAAATCACCAACCATTATCTTAAAAACAATATTTTTCCAAGCACATGCCAAACGAATAAGATCAATTGTGACAATCCCAAAGGTAGCAGTATAAAAACCACAATTTTATGGTTATTAAGTGGGATGCCATTAATGTCTTAGAAAGTGGGTTCAAAATACGGCGGTCATCAAAGGAGAAAAGTCATCGAGGATATGCGTGAGGGACATTTAACCAATTTTGAAACGGCGTTCCAAAGGGATTCCGCCATAAAAAACGGGATGAATGTGCCCAAACATCCGGAGGCCCACAAAACATCGGATTGGATTACAGGGCCACAGGTAATGCAGCTATTTGCCTAGCGCAAAAAAGGACAATGACCAAACAGAATCGATGAGTATCGCTTGCTTTTTTCCGGGACCTGCTGCATGTCCTTTTTTTATGTCGGCGGGATGCTGAGGAAGGGTTCATTAATCGTGTTTGGCAACACAGGAAATGCGGAAGAAACCGAAAGGATTTCCGTTTCGTTTCGTTTCGTAATCCGATGCTCGTTAATCGTACGAAAATCGAACGGAAAATTGCCGGAGACCAAAAGTGAAAGCCGACTCTCCCAATGCGGAATTCAGCTAATCAAAAACTAAAAAAAAAAGGAGTGAGAATATCACAGTCTCCTCCTTCCTTTTTCCCCAAAACCCGCTATAAACTACTATCGATTTCGGCACAATAGCATTTGCATTTTTCAGCATCGCACTCTGCGTCCGATTAATCGCATTACAAATCGCCCGGCGAATGAGGTGTCGACTTAAGATCAGCATAATGCTAACAAATACGAACGGGTAACTGAAATGTGAGCGATACAAAAATAAAATACCTCGCCAAGGACAGAGGCCCTGGCATCAATATTTTGACATTGCCAGCAGTTTGCAAACTGCCGATTGCCTCGCATTAGCGCATTTACTCGATGACTGCGAAAGCCAACAAGGTCTTCGGTGGCCATTCAGATCGTCTTTGTTATGGCTAACATGCACAGCACAAAATATTTTCATGGAAAATATAATGAAATTTGAACTGAATCTTCCAAACAAGCGAAGAATGATTTTTCCTTACAGAAAGAAAACCACAAGATGTGCAATTACAGTTTTTTTTGCAGCTCCATTGTCTGCTTGCTATGTCGTACATGTATTTTTTATATATTTTTTGGGTTTCATTTAAACCTTGTGACTTAATAAATACTAGAATAGAATAAGGGAAAAAAATCACACTACTTGGCTAGGAAAAAAAAAACGTATAGAGATAGAAATAATTGAAAAAGGTGAAGAGCACAAACAGTTGAATAGTTGGTTAAAAGATATACATTATATAGGGGCACCACCCGCTCAAGACCAACAAACAAAAAGGTATTAGTTATATAGAAGTAACGAGAAAAAAGTATAAGAAACGAAAAAAAAAATTGGTTGACTCTCTGGCTGGCTTATGTGCTGGGATCTTCTTCGTCGGTGTTTCGGATATATATGGGTTCGTCATCGTGGTTCTCGGATCGGGATATAAAGCGGAGTTCATCAACTATATACAGGGCTGGGTTCGGGATATTCGGGTTCTTAGGCCACCGTGGCATACTGTCGCTTCTCCAGCGAGACATTGAAGCCGTTCTCCAGCTTCAGGATAATGTCGGCCTGCAGCTTAAAGTCCGCCTCAGTGTCGGTCGAGTGGACAATGTAGTTCCTCACGATGGTGGACAGCAGGACCTTGAGCTTGAGCATGGCGTACTTCCTGCCCACACAGCTCCTGGGTCCGGCACTGAACGGAATGAAGGAGTAGTAGTGCCTGTTGGCCATTCGTTCGGGCAGGAAGTTGTCCGGATCGAACTTGGTCGGGTTGGGGTAGATGTCAGGACGACGGTGCACGCAGTATTGCAGCACGATGACCGTGGTTCCCTTGGGCACCGTATACGGGCCGCTGGCCAACTTCAGATCGTAGTCCAGACGCCTGGCAATCAACGGTACTGGTGGGTACAACCTGAGCGTCTCCAGGATCACACGCTCGAGATACTTCATCTCCATGGTATCGGCAAAGGTGCAGTCCCTCAGCATGTTATCACCGAAAATGGCCTTCTGTTCGGCAAATACCTTGGCCTGGATATCCTTGTGGATGCCCATCATGCAGAGGGCAAAACTGGAACCCGCCGATGTGGTGTCGTGACCCTCGAACATGATCGTGTTCACCTCATCCATAATGTCCTTCTCGTTCCACTCGATGTCGGGATTCTTGGCCATTTCAACCATAGCATCGAGCAGAGCCAATCGCCTCTTGGCGCCCACATCGTTCTCATCGATATCGTCAAGATCATCGCGGAGACCCTCCTTTTTGGAGGCCGGGGCACTGGAGACCGGGGTGGAGATCTCCTCGACGATGGCACGCGCCTCCTCCTGGAAGTTCTCCTTGCGGTCCTTAACCACCTTGCTGGTCATGCCCAGGATGATGTTCATCATACGATCGCCCTTCTCGCGCAGCTTGGTGAACTTGTAGATGGAGTCCAGACGGTACAGCAGCTTCACCTGCCTCTTGTGGATAATGTCGCACATATCGACGACAGCCTGGGCGTATTCGAAACTCTTGTTGCCCTCGGGCAGTTTCTTCACACCCATGGCGGTGGACAACAGAATGTCGACGGTGGTCTGAGACATGTAGTCGTGCACATCGAAGGACTTGCCAGCCTCCAAGCCCATCCTGTCCACCACAGCCTTTGAGTGGTCGACGAACGTGGGCACAAAGCTCTTCAGGATGCTCTGATGGAAGGTCGGGGCAATCATCTTGCGGTGGTGGCGCCAGTGGTGTCCGTTGCTGATCAGCAAACCATCACCGAACCATGGCTTGAAGTAGCGGTACTCCTCCGCCTTGGTCAAATGCTGATGTCCGCTCAGGATGAGCTCGATGTCGCTGGGATTGGTGAGGAAGACCAGGAGGACATTGCCCAGCCAGGCCTTCATCGTCTCGCCGTATTTGTTCAGATAGCCCAAGCCGACAGCCAGGATCTCGGCATTGCTCAAGCCGGCGGCCACATGGGCCTGTCCCAAAATCGGCAACTCCGGCGGCGATGGTATGTTGGCCACCATGCGGTATTCCCGGCTATTCCTGCGCCAGTATTCGTACAGGGCCATGGCCACCAGGGTGCCAACCAAGGTGGTCAACATGGGACTCAGTCCCAGAACCGATGTCGACGAACTGGCCGCCTGTTGCAGCGTCTCCTGCACCGTTTCCACTGCCATGTTTGCTTGCTTCTCTCCTGTTCTTGATCCTGATCCTGCACTGCAACTCCTTGAGTGTGTTTTGAAGATGGCACTGTTGCTATTTCAGCCGCCAGCGCTCAACTGTGGATTGCGACTGTCCGAATCGAACTTTTTATACGGTTCCAAGGGTCCAAGGAGGGCACTAGTTGGAGTCAAGCATATGCATATTCCCATTCCGATTCCGATTCCCGGTCCCATCGAAATTAGCAAACCAAATCCAAGTCACGTACTCGGCTGAAGGCAATGGAACCTTTGGATCTAATGGCTGCAACGCGTCATTGCAGTCTTGGTGGATCGATTTAGTCTGCATTGAGTGCACAGATGGCACAGTCCACGGTTTAAGTTGGTATCCCAATTTCACATTTACAAAATAATTAACCGACTCACCTTTAATACTGTCTGTTTTCAAGAACTCCTAATGGAAAAGAAAGTAAACCTTTAAACCTAAAGGTCAGAAATCTTTCCACAATCTGCACATTAATTCGATTTTTAAATTTAAATTAATTCAGTATGAGAATTAATTTAAGAAGAATTTTTTTCTGTTTTTACCAAAACCTTACAAATTTGTTTGTCTGTTAAATTTTGTTGTAAATAATTGTTAAAACAGAATTTTTAACAGGTTGTGACTAAACCATTTTGAAGGGAAAGTGAGCAAGTCTACTGTCTCTTTTTAACCCACTCGCTTCCTGCGGAAGTGAGCAGGATACCAAAACCAAGGATCGGGAATATGCAAAGCAGTCAGTGGAAGTTTTAGGTACCTGTATTCCACCGGATTTACCTGCCGGTAAACGGAAGTGGGTGATCCTTGCCCCGCTGCCTCGCCTTTTTCTATTCCTCTGTTTTGCTTTCGCTTTTTATTAAATTCAATTTCGGCGCTTTTGTCCTCGACACCTGAGCATGAGTATGCAAAAAGGGAAAATCGGGTAAGTAAACAATGAAATATGTAAACCACAGACAAAGAGAAGGAAGCTGTCGCTTTTATGATGCTCGTCCTTCGCATCTTCCCGCACATTCATCATCATCCTGGCCCAATTGTTGTTTGATTGTGATCCTTTTGAATATTTATTTTTATTTGCAATTGGAATATTTGTGCGCGTGCTTAAAGCGTGGAAACTAGCAATCGGTGAATATGTTTGAAAACCTATCCTTTTTAATATTTTTCCCCATCCAGTCGTGTGTTAAAAACTTAACATTTGTCATTGGGAAACAAAAAAATTATAATAGGGAAATAGGTTTAAAATATGTTCGCATCTGCGATTCATATATGTATGTATGTTATTATTAAATAATTTAATATGCGTATGTAAGGTCGTTAATACACAGGTCCACATAGAGAAAAGAGATTAAGAGCGCTCGCAAACATAAAAGCCATTATGTCTCCAAAAAGAGCTTATTTAGCAGCAAGTCTCCAAAATTTTAAAGTTATGGCGTCAAAGGGAGAAAAAAAAGGAGAAAGGGAAAGTCGCGATGGTAATAACATTATTTTTTTCTATTCCCACTTACATACATACATACTATACATACACATATATTTATAAAATGTATTTTAAACTATTGAACGTAATCTGCAGTTTTTTATAATGTTATTATTATTATTTTTATTATGTACTTACCATAAGAAACGAACTCACATTCATAATTAAGTACGTGTACTTACATACATATGTATGTACACATGTACATACATATGTACATGCGATCTGCGGGAGACTCCCAAGCTCACATATTTCTTTCTGTGGTTCAAAGGAACTAATTTTGCTGAATAAATCATCGACTAGACTTAATGTACCAATTATAATGCAAATCTAACAACAGGAACTCGTTCCAACAATTATTTTAGACAAATTTAACAGCACAAATCACCACTTTCTCACAGTTTTAACACGGCAGTACCAGATGCCAAAGATAAATGAAGGAAGAGAGGGAATAACGTTTTAGCGAAATAGGTCTAAAACTGAGAGACTAATTTTCACAGACGGAGAGACATACATACATACATACTCTCTGCAAAGGTATAAAAATATTTAAGAGAAAATAACTAAAAATTAAATTAGGACTGTTTACAACCTTTTAGATGGAGCCCCCAAAAATTTCAAAGCGACTAAAATAGTAAAAATAGTTTTATTGAATTTTTGATTGAAGGGACTTAAGCATTTATAATTCAAATCATCAAAACCCAGCTTAAACGACTTGGATTTCTGTGTTTTTCTTGTTTTTTTTTTTTTTTTTTTTTTTTTGCAGAATAAATTACATGAATGTGTCTGGGTTTTCGTCTCCTTCCCGTTGTTTCTTTACTTGATACTTTTAACTTTCTTATGACGTAACGTGATTTACATATTGATGTATGCTAATTAATTTAGGTATATGTATATATGCTACTAGAATATATAGGTATGACTTTTATCCATTTGCGGTGACAGCACTGAAAGCAGATTAATCGTATGTGTGTTACGCGGTAAACATAAAATTAAAGTTAAGAATGCATTTAAACATAATAATTTTGTGTTCTCAATTAACAATTAATGTCTTTTATCAATCGGGATGAATGCTGTTCGATCTAATCAGAAACACAACCTCGCACAAAGAAAGAACAAAACGCAATCTGGCGGGGACTGGGTCACAAACGTAGGGGATCAGGACATGGGTTTACAGGACAAAGAATCTGAGCAAGATGACACAACAGTCACAAAACATATATGGCATACAAGAAGTGACAGAAAAGTAAAAAAACAAAAGTTACAAAACATAAAACAAAGTATTTACATGTAAGCCCTTTACAGGATGCGATTTTTAAAAAAAAAGGGGGCGCGGTAAATGGGGGCGAGGATGAGGGGCAGTGGAAGTTCCGTGTTCCCGGAAATGGCCTACGCCGTCTCATTAAGATGCACACAATGGGCGTCCTGCATAAGCTGCGTGAGTTTCTGCGTAAACGTTGGAATGTCCTGCAAAATACACGCCATTACATTTCATAATCATTCACTTTTGATCCCAAGTACTCCCGAAATGACTCACACTTGTCTGGCAGATCTCCTCCAGCGCCGAATGCGCCACCGGCAGCGATGCGTGGGCGAAACTCTCGAGCAACTGGCGCCGGTCCACCTGGCCCATCGCATACAGGGCCTGGGCAATCATATCAAAGTGCAGGGAGCCCTCGCCACTCAGCAGCAGATTGAGCAAAGCCCGCTGAAAGGAGGCCAACAGCTGCTCCTTGAACAAGGCGCGCTGGTACAGACGACTTCGCTCATTCACATTCTGCATCGAGAAGAGAACGCTGCGCACATTGCTGGGATCCGTGCCGCTGACCAGCATCTGTCCATAGGCATTCAGAATGGCCATGAAGTGGGCCGGGTGCAGGTTATCGCTGCAGTTGAAGTTACCGGAGCCCCCGCCACTGTGACCATTGGATAGCTGATTTTTGTAGAAGAACTGCCACTTGCAGGTGAGCACGCTGCAATCAAAGTATTTGTTTATATTATATTCCAAACACTCGGGGAAAAATCGCCTCACCTATCGAACAAGGCGTACAGCAGGCTGGTGATCTCGCTGTTGTCAGTCACCGTATTCTGTTGCTGCAACAGCGGCAAAATCTGCTGTGTGCTAAAGTCAAGAATGGAGGGCAGCAGACCCAGAGACGCGCTGCCCGGCTGCTCCACAATCAGCTTAAACATCTGCAGTATCTTCTCCATCACCGCAAGTCGACTTAGAGTCAGTTGTTCCCTGCGAAGCAGAAAGAGACACCAGATACATCAGTTGGGACTCGCATGGCAGAGAAAGAGATGGATGGCGTCACCTGCTGCTGACATTGATGAACAAGGTGATCATCTCCTTGATGAACTGGGCTCCCAAGTGGGTGGGCAATGTGCGGAGCATGCTTAGACTGAATTCGGCCACCGTGATGGCCATGGCAATGCTGCTCAGACCAAAACTGTTAAAGATCATCAGGGCCTTGGTCAAGATTGGCTGAAATACAGAGCATATTTAATGGAGTTCCTTAAAAGAGCATAGGTTAATCAGATTTGTTTGTAAACATCAAAAACATAAACAAGATTCTAGGGCGAATGAATCACATTTAACAAAAACAATAATGGGTCTTCTTGAAAGATACTTAGAATAACAATGTTCAGGGATAAAACTTTTAGTAACCAAGAGCAAAGATTGTTTAAAAGACCTTGAAAGTGCTCGCCAGCATATCCTTGGAATTACCGCCCGTGGCCTTGAAGTACTCGATGAGGGCCGTAAATGTTCCCAGCAGACTGAGCGTGGTGGCCGCCACCTTGCTCTCGTTGGCCTGGCCCAAGTCCAGATCGAGGAAGTTCTGCGCCAGCCCCTGGACATATTCGCGTAGCATCCAGAGGCGCCGCGGGTAGTCCTGCTGCTGCTCCGGGACACCCTTCCACGGCAGCACCATGTAGCTGACCAGACTGATGTGCACATTGATGCACACTTGACGTGGCAATTGGGCGCCCAAGCGGGAGCCGGCCTGCAGAAGGCTCTGAATCTGCGGTATATCTAGCAGGCACTTGGGCCGTATCACAGTCGAGATGAAGAGCAGCAGCTCGCTGGCCGCCTGCTGGACGATGGGCGAGGCTGCCGACAGGGAGCCGTTGCAGGCGAAGATGCTACCCAGAATGGCAAACAGGCGGTGCAGCAGCTCCTCGCCGCTCATGGCTTTCGTGAGCGGAAAGATGCTGCGGATGGCCAGCAGAACTTGAGCGTATCTGAAAGGTGGAAAAAGAGTGAGACGTATTAATGAAATATTGGAATTGCAAAGGACATTCTCCCCACACACTCACAGGTTATCCAAATCAGTCTGAAAGGTGGCCTTGTCCATTTCGCTGCCGCTGCTGCACAAACGATTGCTGGCGAGGAGCTGCAGCGTCTGCAGCAAACTGTCGGACAGCATCTGCAGCTGGCACTCCATCTCATCCGCAACCCCCGGCGCCGCAGTCGAGGTGTCCATTAGCGGGGCGAGACGCACCACCGCCTGGCAAACGGTGGCAAAGTCGCGCAGGATCTCGCCCACATTGGCGCCCTTCAGCTTTCGTGCCGCCTCGTAGCTGCGCGCACTTCCGTGATCCAAGGCGTGCTCCAGCGAGAGCAAATACATCTGCGGCCTTGACCAGTGGTTGTAGACTTGTGCGAAGACGATGTGGACGCCCCGGGTGTTGGCCAACAATGCCAGGGTCTCGAAGCATTGGTCCAGGAACTGCTGCCATTCGGTGGCGGAGGCCTGAAATTGGTAATACATTCTGTTTAAGATACATGTGTGTATTTTAACTTATTAAATTTAAATAACTATAAGTAAATATAAAAGTTTCTTGCTGATTGAATTGCAGTAGCTGGTTTTTTGCATAACCACCTTTGGGGTACAACTTTCTCTTTATTCGCACGCGCAAAGACCTCCGAATGTGCCAAACAAGGCCTCAAACTCGAAGCAACTTACATCGTCCTCCATGAGCTCGTTGTCCAGCACCTCCAGTTCGGGTTTGTTGGCCTCGAATTGAGTGCGCCGCATGATCTCATCCACCAGCTGGGTGAGCACGTTGTTAAAGCGCGTGATTTTGGCGGGCTGTTGGGCAATACCCTTGATGATGGGCGTCCAAATCTCCAGCTTTTCAGTGAAGTCCAAAGCGCCGTGTACTATTTACATAGGTGATAAGAAAATACATCATTTAGTTATGTATCTACTGTAGATTCTTTCCACATCCTATGTAGCACTAGTTGGTTTAGGACACCACCGTTGAAAATGGTTATACTTTTACCATGTGACTCACATTCTGTGGTGCAGCCGTAGAGCAGATTGAGGAAGGTTTCCAGCAACTCCGGCTCCTGCATCAGTTTGCCGGAGTACTTGGTGGTGTAGAGGCGCAGCAGCTCCCGGAACTTGTCGCTGTACATCTCGCTCTGCCGCCGATTGCTGTTGTGCTGCTCCAGCAGACTGCTAACGCCACCCATTAGGGTGCCCGCGAAGGGCAGTGGCTTCTGCAGGTAGAGGAGCTCGTTCAGCACTGAGAGGGCCGCCAGGGAAATGGGTTCGTGGGTGGGTCGCCACTGTGAGAGGTCGAGTATGCTCATGAGGAAGTACTCCGAGATCAGTTCAGTGCGTATCCAGGAGACCAAGTGCTGCACACAGCCGAGCAGCTCCAAAATGGAGGAACTGCGTGCGGGAAGACGTAAAGTGGTGAGGTGTCAGTCTGAATTCTCGATTGCTATTAGTTTCTGCATAATTGATGGACACCCACCTTAATTGATTGTCATTTGGCAGCGCTGAGGTTAGACTAAAGTCCATGAGGGTGTTTGGTATGGTCGTTTGGATGTCTTTGCCATTGATGTGGCACACAGCGATTAGTAGATACTTGGTGACCAGGTCCAGGACATCGGGTATACACATGGAGATGCTACAGAAACACACGGCACATGGTAAACACAAAGCGGGAAAGGATTAAGAACAGTGCCAACAAGGACTCCACTTTTAACTTCGAATAGCAGTTGAACGTAAAACAAAATATATATTAAATAAAAATCAGTAACTTCTTTGTGGGTTTGCATTAACAAAACTCCTTGGAAGGGGCAAACTTAAGCAAAAAATCCAATACAAGTAAACAAAAAGAAGGTTTCTGATAAGAAATACATGTAAATACATTTACAGGGTCGATAGGAATTGAGGAATTGCGGGTATCCCAGAAATATATGACGGGTTTCAATAACAGGATAAGGTTATGCCCACATTTGGTAATCACTGATAAGAACTAGTCAATGTCCGGAACTAAAAGAATTACTACAAAGACTAACATAAACTTAAAAGATTTCTGATAAGTGTTGCCAATAGAGAACATTTTTAGAAAACGAGATAGAAGTAAGTTCAATGCGATCACAAAGCTTACGATAAAAATGGGCTTAAAAAAGGACGGACAAATGCGTAAAACCTCAATTGAATGTAGTGTATAAGTTATTGCCTGCGCATTTAATTTATTTACGCACCAGGAGTAGAAGTACTGCTTCCATTCGGTGGTCAGATCGCCCCGGTTGCTCACGACTTCCTCGGAAGTTATCCTCAGCAGGTTGATGCCCAGTTGGAATCTGGTTTTCGTTAGCTCCATGCAGTGCTGCATGTAATTGGGGTCCTGCTCGGGGAACTCCCGCTTGCCCAGCAGCGCTATTAGTTGGGCCAACGTGTCCCTGTGTCGTTTGGCTGCATTCGGCGTGCTTCCCAGTTGGGCATACGAGTTCCACAGCGCTTCCCGCAGCAACGTCTTGTCCGTTGTGGTCAATTGCGTCCATCGCCGCGTGATCGTGTGCTCCAACGTGGACGTGCTGAAGAACCAGAGAAACTGATTCGCGGTAATGTCCGATGCGGTGGCCACCCGGAGGCAAAGTTGCCACGCCTCTGGTTGCGACTTGAAGGCCAGCAGGTTCGTCTCGATCTCTCGCTTCCGGGCGTTCGAGGTGCTGGGCTGGTAGAACTCCTGCAGCAGACCCTCCACCGTCGTCATGGATGCGGCATGCTGGGATTGGAAACAAAATCCCCCCGGTCAAGTGAATCACTCTTTCGAAAATTGGGTTTGGCCCGCAGGCGAATGGAGCACTTACCATTTTCCCTGTCCTTTGCGATCCTCGGTGATTCCTGTGATCTGGATGTGGGGGTCACTATGTGCTCCGCTTGCCCGCGGTTCTGGTTTCGATCGCATCAGCACTCGGCGTCCAGCAATTTCATGGTTTTCTTTGTAGACACAAAAAAGGTGGCCAAAAAAAAACTTATCTGCAAAACTCTGAAACAAACGATGACATGGCGTGACAACCCTGGCTGCGCTCGCTGGGCCCCCGTTAGACAGCACTGACACACAATCGATAGCCCTCACTTGCGGTTATCGGTTTAAGATATTTTAAAATTGTAAGAGTTCCGGGCTTTCATCGCTACCTTATTATTAATTTTTGATCAAGATTTTGCGTGATAAAAATGTGCTTTAACTTAGAGTTTTTGCAACCGGGGTGGAAAAACATATAAATTCTAAAAGGTCTCAGCCAAACATCTGATGCTTGTTTTTGGAAAAGAAATAAAGTTTTTTATTAACAAGAAACCATGTCGTTACATGCCAAACCCAAACATCACAGCGTAGGAGCACATTCTAGCCAGAACTCAGTTCTACTTAGCAGGGCACACAATAAACAACACAATTTTCTATTTTTTTTCCATATATTTTCTAGAAGATTTTTTATCGGAGGTAAAATTTCAAATTCCATTAAAATTTGTTGCTAAATACGCGTTATTTATAAATTGTCTTTGACTAGGGTACCCTTGTCGGGAAGTTATAACTTCACTCGCGATTTGGGAATTTGCTGAAGAATTGTTAGGACATCCAGGATCATGACACGTGGCAAGTACGTCAATCACAAGGGTCGCACTCGCCAGTTCACACCGGCGGATGTACTGCAGCAGGAATACGATATGATGTTCAGAATCAAAGAGGAGGATGACCCGGTTTATGATCAAGATGAGGGAGATGAGAGTAATTGGGAACTCAATTTCGATTTAGAGGAGAACTACGTTCGTCCTTGTGGGGTCCACGGCCTTATTGAGATTTCGAATCCAAATCGCTTGCCGCCCGGAAAGGATTTAAGTCATTTGATAGCCTTGACGTCTCGGGAAAGGGGTTCCCAGTTGGATGATGGCGCCCTAAGGAGACGTCGCAAAAGAAAACATGCGCGGATCGAAATCGAATGTTTTAAGAAATCGTCGAGCGATTTGGCCAAGCGGAGGCTTCGCCGCCAAAAAAGCCGCCGTTTCCGGAAAGGAAAGTTCCCTCAAGATGACTTGGAAGCCTACGAAATTAGCGGAGAAGCCACCATCGGTGGTAAAGGATCTCAGTGGATATCGCGGCAAGAACCGATCTAACCGCAAAAAGTAGAAAACAGCTAGCAATCACACACGATTTTAATTTGAAATGGCGAATTTAAGATAATTTTAAGACATGTTTAAAGAAAGATTCTCACCAAAAACCTATTCAACACTAGCTATACAACTTATACTCCCAGTCCATTATAAATCCAATTAGAAAATGAATTCCAAATTGAAGCTACACTCAACCAAATCTATTAGTCGCTAAGCAATACTCAAATTTTAAAACCAATTGAGGAGCAGCAATCGTTTTGAATGACTTTTTAAATTGTTTCCATATCATATCGATACTAGTTTTGCCATGATTCTTTATATTAAAAACCAGTAAACACTTATACAAATTTTTGCTAATTGTTTGGCAATGCGTAGCAGGACGGTTTTTTTTTTAAATTTTCGCTTAACAGCCTCGCACGTTGTTCAACATCGGATTATTGTGTCACCTGCAGCACTAGGTCGGTCTTGTCTTTTTCCAACACTTCTACCGGCAACTTGTAAAACAACGGGATAAAAAACTTTACAAAAAAATTGCATTGGAAATTAGGAATATCTGATTTACTCTATTATGGCAGACTCAGTGCAGAATAGGGCATCGAAACGATCGCGTTCGTTGGACGAGGACGATGCAAACAATAATTTTACCCAAACGAAAGTCTGGGTTAACCAAAAAATGAGCGATTCTCGCGACCCACAGAAAATGAAGGAGGTTCATGGTAAGTATTAGCAATAGTTTCAAAAACAATTAATATTGGGGCCCATTTTTTGGAAGAATAAATGGGAAAAACGAGTTCATCTAGTAGCCCTGTCAGAAAAGTTGTTTTTGCTGTCAAATTCCTAATCCCATTTAGTACTCTCAAAATTGTTAGCCGGCTTATACGGATTTTTGTGAGTTGAATTAAAAAAAATATGTAAGCATCAAATATTTTTCATTTTTGTTGTTGGCATTAAGTAGAGTTTTTACAGAATTGTTTGTTCGTGTACAGTCATATTTAATTCCTGTAGTAATTCCGCAGAGAAAACGACCAAAATGCTTTTCGACGGTGCTGCCGGCAGTGGGCAAAGTCAGAGTCAGGGCCAGAACGAACCGAATGGCCAGGAGCAGCGGCCGGCCCTCTTTGAGCAGTACCAACTGCTCGGCGATGGTACAATACTGCTGCGTAACCTTCGAGCCGACATGGCAAATCCGCGCCTGGAGCGCCAAAAATCGCGCTGCTGCCAGCGTCAAACTCTCATCCACGACACCTGTGTGAACTGCACCATGGATCTCTGCGAGGAGTGCGGCTATTCCTGCGTCGAGTGCTCGCAGTTTATATGCCGCAGCTGCGTCACCCTGTTGTGAGTTGTCACCTAGACTTAAGCGAGGCTTCCATCTCCATTTTTGTTTTAAATATAGTTTATAGTGCTCAAATAATGTCGATCATTATTATTCTTGATTCATAAAGATTGTGCATTAACCCTTTACCTTTCTCACATCTTGCTTCCAGTGGTAATCGTTCCGGTGACGCCGACGATCCGCTGTGCGAGCGCTGTCAGATGTTTTTTACCTAGAGCTGTCCAACGAACCGGGCCACCCAGCCAACTGCAGCCAATCTCGCAGAAAAAACTCATGGTGCTCTTTAAATTTTAAGTTCTAAATCAGTACAAATTAGGACACTCATGATGCATAGGGTACTTATTTGAATATATGTATATTTATTTTGAAGCAATGGGAATTAACACAAGTGAAACCAATAGAGCGTGCGGGGATTGTATTGGTGTTCCTTGCCTTACACCTTGCCCCTAAATCTGTGGTACTTCTCATGCTCCTTCACCAGACCCTCGTACATCCTGGCGCCCGCCTCGCTGCTGGAGCGCAGGATGAAGTGTCCGGCGCGGTGGTCACAAATGCCAATGAGCTCGTGGCACACGCGCACTATGTGGACCTTAACCTGATGAAAGAACAAGTAGTATTAGTTAAAATAAGCCTAGCTCCAAACAATGTATCACATCGAATTGAAATAAAATCAAAGGAACTGAATGGAAAGTCGATGATTGTGAGCGCACCTTTTCGAAGAGCGTGGTTGGCCTTTCGGTGGCCACCATCTGGCGGATGGTGAAGATGAGCAGGAAGGGCGCCACTCGCTTCACGGCCAGCGCCTGAGTGGTTGCCACCGTGGCCATCAGAGTGGCCAATTTGAGGCCCAAGTCCGCTAGGCCATCTAGCTCCGTTTCGTTGATGTCCTGCGTCTGCTTTCGCTCGGCTCGATAGCCAATGATGGCCTGGATAAGGTCCTGGCACAACGCACTCAGCTGGGCGGCTCGGTCGGACATCAGGTTGGTGTGCTGCTTCAGCAGGGCCACCAGGTTGTCGGTCACGGCTCCGTACAGGTCCACGAAGTCCTGCCAACTGCCACCTTTGCTGATCAGGTGCTTGATGTCCACGTCCAGCAGGCTGCCGAGCAGGCAATCCAGAGTTTCCCCCGTGAGCGGAACCGTGCGATTTCCGGCCAGGTTTCGCTGGGCTTCCAACAGGCGGAGAACATGACCACGATATGCTGGATCCTTGGGCTCCGGCAGGCGCAGTGCCGCACTCACGCTGATCAACTCAAAGTGCTCGTTGAGCATCTAAAACGAAGGTATTGTTAGTTCGTTGATTGGGAATAAGTCGCTAGAGATACCAACCGCTCCCTTGACACTGCTCAGCGAACATTTGGCGAAGAGGGCCAGCAGGGTGAGCACGTTCTGGAGAGCTGTGTGCTGGGCAGACGTCTCGGGGCGAGGCATTTGCTGCACCTGCGAGGACAGGCGACGCAGAAGCAGCAGGAAGTCCTCGTTGGTCTTGTAGCCAATGATTAGCTTTATGGCGGGCTCTAGGCAATCCAACGCCGAGCTGGCGGATATGTCCCCCGTCTCAATGTCTTCATTCAGTTGCCTCCAGTAGCTGCTCAACACGAACTCTATTTCATCGGGATCCAAATGCAGGCGCTGGCGATGGGTCAGGGCCACATTCAGCAGGCGAATGGCATGGGCATTGCGATAGTTAAGCTGGTAAAAGAGGATTGATTAGCTTTGATCTTATATACGTTCAGTTCTACCCACCGAGTGACCGATGTAGATCTTGCAAATGCGCCGGAAGTTCTCGTCAACGATTGGCAGCGTCTCTACGTTTTCCTTGTTTTCCTCCTCAGATTTGGCCTGCTTCTTATCCTTCTTTTTCTTTTTCCTTTCCGGTTCCTGCTGCTCCTCCAGTGGCTCCTGCTTGTCCTGTTCCCTCTTCTTGTCCTGCTGCTCCTTCTCCCTTTCCTGCCTGGCCTCGCGATTGATGCAGCTGCTCACATAGGTCGCATATCCAGCCAGAGTGCTGCTCACGAACTCCTTGTACGCGGAAGCCTCCTTCTTCTTGGAGCGGAACTTGTGGGCCACCATCTCGCCATAGATCTCGAGCAGTGGCTGCAGATGTCGCTGCATTCTCCTGCCCTGGGCGCCGCTCACACTGGACAGCGTTTCGATGGCCAGCAGCAGGAGGCGACACTGCTCCGTTTGCAACTTGTTGGCTGCCGCCAGCTGGTCCTTTAGGTACTCCGTGCAGCTGGCCAGGAATGCCTCACTGCCTGCACTCTGGCGACGAACGCAGCGGCTGAAAAGTGTTTCGTAGAAGCTCCAACCCGTGGCGGAACTAGTAGGAATAACGTTCAGCAGCTCGCTGAGCTGCGAAAAGAAATTGCAGATGGGCAGCGGATGGCCAAAGTGCATTAAATCTGTAAAAAAAAAGAAATAAATAAAATAATTATTTTAATTCAATGATTTTTTAATTGAACTAATAGTAAACTTTACCTATCAGCAGTTCTAGCACCTGACTGGCCTGCTCTTTCTGCTGGCTGCGACTGAGATCCCTGTAGAGGACAAAGATCACCAGCCAGAGACGCGAGCGAATGGAACTGGCCAACTGGGCCAACGGCAACCGCTGCAGCGACATCACCAGCTCATCAGCCGATGGCAACTGCAGCTCCTTGTTGACAGAAGCCTTTTCCCTAAGGAAACCAACCAGAAAGGCCTCCTCCGCTTGCTCCTCCTCCAGCTTTAGTTTCACCAACAGCGAGCCCTTCACCTTTTCCGTTTTAACTACAGTTGCATATCCCTTCACCAACTGCAAGGCGTGCAGCTCCACACACTCCGAATCCTCCAGACAGGCAGACAAGTCTCTGTCCTTGCTCCTTTGATGCAGAACGAGCTGCTTCTGCGGTCTGGTCAGGCGAAAGAGCTGCTCGGGGGCCACCAACTCGGCGAGGGAGTCGGAGCATTTGGCTGCCCGTTGCTCCTGCAGCAGCCAACCACTCTCGGCCAGCTGCTGGTCCAAGCGCTGCAAACGCTGGCGACAAGAGCTCTTGCCGAAGTTGTGCACCCGCTGCTGGATCAGTGTCCACTCGGCGGTGGGCAGGAAGCCCCTCAGCTGCAGAGGTCTTTGGCTGGCGGCCAGCCCGTCGGGCCAATAGTGCGTGAGCAGCAGTTCCAGGCCACTGGCGCGCTCTGTGCACTCGAGGAACGCGTTCATCAGCCGGCGATTGTGCTCCTGACTCAGCAGACGTCGCCCGAACTGCCCAAGCACTTGGGAGGTGTGCTGCAGCTGCTGCTCCACCTCCGCCTGGTAGAGATGCACCTGCTCGGCCAAACGAGTGCCGCTCAAATACTGACAGAGCAGCGCAGCATGCAGCTCGCGAGCGAAGTCCAGGTTCTCGGGCAGCACTCCCGCCGGCTGCTCCTCCTCCAGCAGTTCGACGAAGGAGTGCAGCAGCGTCTTCCAAATCACCAGAGAGGGCTTGCTCATCAGGTTGCTAACCAAGCGAGTGAAGGCCACACCCGCCGAGTGACTTGGCCAGGTTGCCGAAAGCTGCTTAAAGGCATCGTCCTGGCTAGAAGATGCACTTTGCACTGCAGGGATTGCACTGAAGATAAGGTTTAGATAGTGCTGCTCTGGTTGCGCATTATCGGGCTTCTCCTTATCCTGCAGGCGCCTCTTTTTGCTGTCGTTGTTGAAGGCATCAAGGGGGTATTTACCCAGCCACTCCTTAAGAGCCTTCAAAAGATTCATGATGAAGCGTTCGGCGCGGCTCAAGCGACGGAACATGTCCAGAAGGAGAATTAGAAAGTCAGAGTACAGCTGCTCCTCCTCGCTGGTCTCCTTGGGCGTCGTTAGAAGCCAGATGGTGATCTGGTAGACACTCTGCTCCAGCAGAAGGGGATTCAAGCGCAGGGCAGCGCAGAGTAGAATCAGCACCTCCTTGAGATGCGATTTCCTGTATTGGCGCACTAAAATCAGCAACTGCTCCGAAACGAAGGTGAATCCGGTGTTGGATGGCTTGTCCATTTCAAACTGCAACGATATTTCGTACTTTTGCAGGACAATCAACAAGTAGGCGGCCAGGGGAAGCGCCGACTTCGATTCCTTGCTGAGTTCGAATACCACATTTATGATGGCTTTCAGAGTATCTGTGTCGTAGCGATTGTTTAGGACCGCCGCCTCCAAAAGTAGCAGACTGATGTGCAGTGGCTGTGCGGCGACTCGTGTGGGAGTAAATTTCGCCTTAAGTTGCTTCTCCAGCTCGGCAAGTTCCGCCAAGCAGGGAGACTTTAGGCTGAGTATCAGCTCTACCAGCGGCTGAACGGTGTTGGAATCGTAGTATTGGAGCAGCTCTTCGGGATTCTGTGAGCGACGGGCAATCTCGGCCAGCTGCTTAATCACAGGCACTACAAATTCCACGTCCCAGTGCTCCGAATTCGTATCATTGTCCTTGTTAGATTGGCGCAGCCTGACGCATTTTTCGTGGCATCTGAATAGACTGCCATAGCACTTGGTTAGATGTTCGTTATTGGCACGCAGCGCATCTTGAAGAAGTTCGCAGTTAAACACCAAGGCTAGCAGTTCCAATACCGATTCACTGGGACGCTCATCCCGGCTGACAATCTCAACGAGCGTTTGGATGAACTGGAATTTAATTTTAAGCGTTACCCATCCAGGTTGTGAGCGTAGCTTGAGGAAATCCTTGAGCTGCTCCGTGGGTAGATCCTTGCAGCCAGGCAGGGACTCACTCAGCCATTGGACAACGATCTCGTACTTGTTCGGATAGGGAAACTCCACGGATTGCCACACTTTCAGGGCGAATTCAACACGTGATGGATACGGTTTGCTTTTCTCCTCCAGCCAGGACTTTAGCTCTGCGGGTGGAAAAATATTTGTTTTACTGTACAGGTCTCTGTGTGGGATCCTGCTCCTGCATTTACCTTCGCCGGTGTCCATTTTCGCCTTGAGCAGGTGAAAACCAAATGCAAAACAACCGAACTAAATTCGAATTCCGCACGTGTAGCGCATTAGTGGTGTGCGATTAGCGGATTTCAAGCCAAATATAGCTGTTTAACCCTTATGTACAGGCGAAAAATAACTATTAATTATTGCGAATTCAAAATATTAGCTTGTATTTTTAAAAAATGTTTTTGACTATATTACTTATATTCTGTTTTTTCAATTTAAATATTTTGCAGTTTTAGAAATAAACAATATCGCACAGGGGTTTCGACCGCTAGTGAACACTGGCGAAAACAGCTGATCAGCTGATCGTCACGACCACCGTGGAAGAAGAAGAAGCACCGTTGGAAGTTCGTTTTGTTATTTATTTTTTTCAAACGTTTCGAATTGAATTCAAAACCTCCTGTTTTATTTTTTGCTGAATGAGACAGAAATCACAATGTTGTTGAACTGCACAAGGCTGACACACAGCTGCACGACTCTCCGGGTCTCGCAAATCAGCCAAATAAGGTCGCCCACATCATATAATCACCATTTGGGAAGGTGTCTTCATCGACGCACAACCAGGACACTTCCGTCTCCGCTAAGCCAGCCACACAGAACCCCTGTGGAAAAGCACCTGCTCCAAACGTTCCGTATGCCGTGCATGCGCCGTGGATTCGCCCAGAGCACAAAGTGGTTGGCCAAGAATGCAAAGGCTGACGCACCACCTCCGGTCGGACTTGTCCCTGCGCCATTGAAAATGGGCAGGTCTCAATATGGACGCCTGCTCAGTCTGACAAAATCGGAAAAGTGGGTGCTGTCTGGTGAGTTAATACAATATCGAGTGGGTTTGCCTATACCTAACTCCTTCCTGTATTTTCTAGCCGGAATCGGATGCCTGGTGGTCTCTTCGGCCATTACCATGTCGGTTCCCTTGTTTCTGGGAAAGGTCATCGATGTGGTATTTAATAAATCGGGTTTAGATAGTGCCGCCATGGCCAAACTTGGTGAATACTCACTGCTGCTCTTCGGAATCTTTGTGGTAGGCGGTTTCGCCAACTTTGCCCGTGTCCATCTGTTCGGAAACGCGTGTGAGTTGGAGTTAGAATTATTCTGTCTGAAGTTATATAATTCATATGGCTTCCTCTCCATCAGCTCTCCGCATAGTGCGCAATCTGAGAGCCCGTCTGTATAGATCCATGCTGATGCAGGAGGTGGGTTGGTTCGATACCAAGGGAACCGGCGAACTGATCAACCGGCTGAGCAACGACACCATGATGGTGGGCACAGCTCTCAGTCAAAATGTCTCCGATGGCCTTCGATCCTTGGCAATGATTGGCGTTGGCACGGCCATGATGGTGGGTGAACCTCTTTTCCATCAATGGATTTTTTCTGTATATTTTGGTCGAAATCTATCTCCGTCGTGCTTTACCCTGATTACGCCTTCCCTAATTCAGGTTTTCTGTTTTGTAGATCTACACTTCTCCTCAATTGGCGGCCGTGAGTGCCTTGGTTGTGCCTGCGATGGCTGGCATCGCCATCGTCTACGGCCGCTATGTAAGGCGGATCACCAAAATGGAGCTGGACAAGTATGCGGAAATAATGAAGTTTTCGGAGGAGCGGTTCGGGAATGTGAAGACGGTGAAGACCTTCTGTCGGGAACAGCAGGAAGTAACCGCATTCGATGACAAGCTAGATGAGGCTCTGCAGATTGGCTATAAAGAGACACGCGCCAGAGCCATCTTCTTTGGATTGGTGGGCATTCATGGCATTATAATTGGGTAAACCAAATGATAATCGGTTACTGTCTTTTTCCAGACTGGCTTCTGCGGCAACTTCATCATAATATCAGTGCTGTATTATGGAGGGACCTTGGTTTTACAAGACTCCCTGACCATCGGAGCTCTGACGGCCTTCATGCTGTATGCCGGCTATGTGGCCATCTCGATGAACGGGCTGTCCAACTTCTACAGCCAGCTGAACAAGGGCATTGGCGCCTCGGAACGGATTTGGGAGATCCTGGACAGGGAGTGCACGATACCCATTGACAAGGGCATCGTTCCACTGGAAAAAGCCGTCGGGGAGGTGGGCTTCCAGAACGTCTACTTCACGTTTCCCACGCGTCCGGAGTCCGCAGTGCTCTCCGATTTCTCGCTGAATCTGCTGCCGGGAAAGACCACAGCGGTGGTGGGCCGTTCTGGATCCGGCAAGACAACGATAGCCTTGCTCATGCTGCGATTGTACGATCCCCAATCGGGCACCGTCATGCTGGATGGCATGGATCTGCGCACGTTAAATCCACAGTGGCTGAGAAACAACATCGGTGCTGTCAGCCAGGAGCCGGTGCTCTTCTCCTCCTCGATCCGCGAGAACATCCTGTATGGCGCCAATCCCGGCGAGCATCCCACCGAGGAGCAACTGCAGCGTGTCGTTGAGGAGGCGAATGTCAGCCAGTTTACCGACCAACTGCCGGATGGCCTGGAAACGCTCGTCGGCCAGCGGGGAATGATGCTGAGTGGCGGGCAGAAGCAGCGAGTCGCCATCGCCAGGGCGCTGATTAAGGTTAACTGATTGATAATATATATGAATGGGTTTTAAACAACTTAACCCACCACTAAACCTTTCAGAACCCCGCCATTCTGATCCTTGACGAAGCCACCAGTGCGCTGGACGCCGTTTCGGAGCAGCTGGTGCAGAATGCGCTGGACAATCTGGTGCAGGGACGCACCGTACTGACCATTGCCCACCGACTGAGTACGATACGAAACGCGGATCAGATTGCCGTGCTGAGCGAGGGAAGGATCGTGGAGCAGGGCACCTACAACGAACTACTGGGCATCCAGCAGGGCGTCTTTCGGGAACTGGTGGCCAGCCAGGCGTTCGCCGGCCAGGACTGAGGACTTGAAGTCGGGTGCTAGGGTGCGGTATTTTAGGTTAGGCGGACTAGACAACTTTAGATTAGATGTGGGCCCACCGCTGGTTGGTGGTGGCCCCTTTGGTGCAACTGTTACCGGGCTATGTGTTCATAAATCAATTGTTTTTATTTCTTTGTACAATACACACGATTGACCATTGTTAAAGATAGAGAACGTCTTTCCTTCTGGCTAGAAAAAGGATGATTTCCTGTTGAAAAGGTGAGCAGAACGAGTCTTAAGTATGGCAAACACTAAACACACGATTCATAACTAACTCAGGAATACACATTATTTTTAAATAATTTCTTTAAATTATTAAAAATAATAAAAACTATTAATGAAATCATACACTTTAAACAGTTTATTGTTATCGTTTACAATTCAGTTTTTCAAGCTTCTCTCGCTTGCCTCTAAACATCTTCTTAAATCTAATAAACAGGCACAAAAATAAATGCAATAATTTCTTTGTATCTAGCTTCTAAATACGTCCTGTGTGCAAGCATCCAGAAATTCAATACGTGGAACAGCTACATCTCAACATCATCTTCGGAAACTCCTTGAGAACCGCATATGGATCGATCCCCTACAGAATCTCGTTCAGACTCGTCGTCTACTTCATGGTGGGCATGGCCACGGCCGCCTGCGTGTGGGTCACATCCGTTTCGCGCCACAGCTGGGTGACCGTCTTGGTCTGCGTGTAGAACTTGATGCCCTGCTTGCCGTAGAAGTGGTGGTCGCCGCGGAAGGAGCCGCGAGTTCCGGTGAAGGAGAACATGGGCAGCGGCACCGGGATGGGCACATTCACGCCCACCTGGCCGGCATCGATCTCGTTGACGAACTTGCGGGCCGCCGCACCATTGGTGGTGAAGACGGCGGTACCGTTGCCGTAGGGATTGGCATTCACAATGTCAATGGCGTCGTCCAAGGTGTCGGCCTTCAGGATGACCAGCACGGGGCCGAAGATCTCTTCGGTGTAGCAGCGCATGCTGGGCGTCACATCGCTGAGGATCGTGGGTCCCACGAAGTAGCCATCCTCGTAGCCCGGCACAGTGATCTTGCGGCCGTCCAGGATGAGCTTGGCTCCCTCCTTGACGCCCGACTCGATCAGGTCGTTGATGCGCTGGCGGGAGGCGGCACTGATCACGGGTCCCACATCCGTTCCGGGCACGTGGCCGGCGTTCACCTTCAGCTTCTGGGCGCGCTCCACGAGATCGGGGATCCACGACTGGGCATCGCCCACAAACACGGCCGTCGACAGGGCCATGCACCGCTGGCCGGCAGCTCCGAAGGCAGCTCCTGCCAGCTGGTTCAGGGTGTTCTCCTTGTTGGCGTCGCCCAGGATGATGCCATGGTTCTTGGCGCCCATGTTGGACTGCACCCGCTTGCCGTTCTTGCCGGCCCGTTCGTAAATGTACTTGCCAGCCTGGTCGGAGCCGACAAAGGAGACGGCCTTGATCTCGGGCGCATCGCAGATGAAGTTCACGGCATCGTGCTGGCCATGGATCACGTTGACCACGCCCGGCGGGCAGCCGGCCTCGTTGAGGAGCTCCATCAGCAGCATCGTGGCACCGGGCACGCGCTCCGAGGGCTTCAGCAGCATGGTGTTGCCCGTGGTGATGGCCACCGGGAACATCCATAGCGGGATCATGGCCGGGAAGTTGAAGGGAGCCACGCCGGCGGTCACGCCGAGGGGCAGCACCAGCGAGTAGGTGTCCATGTCCTTGGCCACGTTGGCCACCGTTTCGCCCATCTGCAGGGAGGGAATGCTGCAGCAGTGCTCGACCACCTGGAGACCGCGAAGGACATCACCCTCGGCATCGGCCAGGGTTTTGCCCTGCTCCTTGGTGATGTTCTTGGCCAGCTCGCCCATGTTCTGCTTGATCAGCGCCTGCAGCTTGAACATCACCTGCTGGCGGGTGAGGATCGACTGGTTGCTCCACGACCGGAACGCCTTCTTGTTCGACTCCAGCGCCGTCTGCATCTCCGCCTGCGTGGCCTTGGGCACACGGGTCACCACCTTGTTGGTGGCCGGGTCGTGCACATCGATCCACTCCGTGGTCTTTGACTCCACGAACTTGCCGTCGATGAAGAGCTTGGTGGTTGGAGCGGCCGAGGAGTAGGACCTCTTGGCCAAGTGGCGGGCCTGGAAAAATGTGGAAAAATTTTAGTTGACTTCATAAACTGATAAGGGAAAGTTTCAAAGGAGATCACCCCAGCTCTCGTTACTAGGCTAAACTACATCTGGAGTGCCCCTAATAGGCTTAATTTTCTGCACTTGACTTTGTTTTGCATTGCAAATTGGCAAGTGCCCGGAATCCTAACCTCAATGCCCCGGATAATTCAGTTTCAGTGGGGTGAGGTTTATTTTTTGGCTGTTGATAACCCTTGTGAGGGGGGAAGGCGGTGCCACGCCCACGCTTATCAGTGTCCATCTGGCAGACATGCTTTTTATTGGCCGCTCAGCGTGGAATTATTCTCTTATCGCGTTTTATTATATTTTACGCCAAGTCAAACATATAGCTAAATCCCCCCACTGTAATTGTTTTTGTTTTCGCTTTATCTTCTTGATATTCGGTTGCTCTGGTCCGTAGCGGAATATTACGTAACGTGTGTTGTTGTCAATTGGAGATTTCTCACCCACACTCTAGCACCTTTCACGATTAATAAAGCTAAGTGAGAGTGAGAAATTAAGGGGGCAGATAAAAAGTGCAGTTTTACATAAATGCTGCACGTGTGTTGTTTTGCAAGTTCAAGGGCACCCACCCACACACACACAGGCATTTAAAAGCTGACCGTTTAATTGAGTAAAATAAGAGGGAAATATTTATATTCCACACATTGTAAGATCTCTTAGGTGAAAAGTGGGATGCATCCACACAGATTACCTGTTTTAGATCACCGGTATGCAATATGATTTTGTAAATATTGGAAAACAGCCGAGTAACTTACCTCAGCGCCGATCAATCGCACTAGGGACATCTTGGGGGATATTTAGCTGGGGATCGCGTGCTCTCCAAACGGTGGTTCCACTAGAACTGAACACAGCCGCCGCTTTTTGACGCCGATGTGGGGGCCTGTGTACTATTCCTCCTATATAATGCGGTGTGGTGGTGTGATTGTTGATATACGAGTCAAAAAAAGAAGGAAAACTGGATGGGCGGTACGACCACGTCAAAAATTGCTTAACGATAGCAAACAACAAAAGCCCCACACTTACACAGACGCACACTATCACACCTTTAAGAACCTGGGGCAGCAGCTGTTGTTTTTGTTTAGTGCTTATTGTTTTTGTCGTTCTCACAATTGTTGTTGCTATTCGTTGGGGGCTCGCTATATGCGTGTGTGTGCGAGTTTGTTTTGCGATGTTTGGCTTTCCAGTCGATTCCCTGCTGGACGGGCTTATTAGCTAGTGACGAAAGTTAAGTTCATCACAAAAATTAAAAAATAAAAGAAAACATGTCAATAGTAATAGCACAGAAAATAAAAACGAATTCGAACACATTAATAATTTGTTTTCTTACTAAAGGAAAGCGCATACCACACTCAGTGCTAGCTGAAGAAAAGTTTTATTGTGTATTTACATACATATAAACACCCGTGGAGATATGAAATTTTTCCATTAATGTAGAGATATGTAGCGTATGCTAAGGCACGTGTCAACCGGCATTTAAGTGAAACTAAGGCCGAAACTAATTAATTAGTGAGATGTCTTTCTTTAAGTTGAAAATATTAATTAAATAACCATATAAAACAATAATTGAATATCCTTACTACTCTCAAAAACCCGTAAGCATAACGGTAAACAAAGGCTGTCCGCTGAATGTGCTAAAAAACACCAAAGCGCTTCCAGATCAGATTGTGAGTACAAACAGTGCTGCCTACATTTAGGACCGGCTCTATTGAAATACCAATTTCTCCAGTTTTCAAGCCTCTGTTATACCATTTTCGCTTTTCACATTTCGCTTTTCGCCAGTGCAAACAAAGTTTTTGCTCGGACTTCCGCTTCCTGGTCAACATAATTAAAAGTACTTTCCCTACACACAGGAAAACGGAATCCATGGAACCACACACAAATGTCTAGCTTTCTCTTTTTTTGGGGAGCGTTTTGTTTTGAATTTCAATGGGACGCTAGACTCTCCTTTATTCGCATTCTCGAGTGATGGCGGCACTCTCACAAAAAATAGCCAAATTTTTAATAATCCTGAAAGTGTAGGACTTATAAAAAAGAATATTATCTTTCTACGATATATTTAGAAACAAAAAGTTAACAGGATAATGACGACAAGAGTAATATATGTATGTACATATATCAAAGTCGTTATTTCGAACACCGTTTTAAAAATCTTTTAAATTATTAGATGTTTCAGCCAAAAAACTTGTTGTAGCCAAAAAACTTTCCAGCACTGTCTCTCATTTTCTCTCGCGGAAGCGGAAGCCAACATGTGTGCAGGAGCATATAAATAGCAGGACGACCCGCAGGACGCGCTCATTTTGCTTGGAAAGCTTTGAAGGAGTGGAGTGCCAGCGCTCCTGCCGAAACACCTAAAACTTGGCAACAACAATCGTGTCTGTTAATTTGCGCAGTCTGGATTAACTACATTGATTTACTGCCCACTGTCATGCCAGGAAGCTGAAGGCGAAAAGCTTTAGGAAAGATGGAGACCACGACGGGCTACCAGGACATTACCGCTCTGGAAAAATCGGTGAGATAATCGACCCTCGAAATATGAATAGCCACTTATCAATACACAGGGATAGGCACTCGGCGTGCAGGGGGAGGAAATTGGTACCTTCCAAAGGGGTCAATTGCATGGCGAGCCATAACAATAAATCATAAGGCACTAAGGAATTACTAGGAAATTTTCTAAAAACCAAGTTGATTTATATCAGTAATAAAACTAACAAGGAACTTACCATTTAGATTTTAGAGTATCTAGAGGTCAAGATCTTTTATTATTTTCTAAAAAGTAGTTTAATTAACATGTTTTAAAACCAAAACCATACGTTTGAATGGGTCAATGACTGCATTTGTACGCCATAAATAGAAAAAAACGTAGAAAGAATTCGGCAGGTACTGAAGAGCTAAAATAATCCCCCGTTTTCTCTTCGGTTCAAGGTGGCCAATGCCGGTTCCCAGCTCTATACGATGGCCCACAAACTTCATGCGGTGGAGCGCAGTCTCGAGCAGACGACAATGGAGCAGATGGACGAAATGGAGGTCCTCGAGCTGCTCGAGTCGATGAGCGAGGTGACCAACGAGTACCAGAATCTACGCAAGGACATTCGCGAGGTGCAGCAGTTGCAGCGTGACGTCAGCAGCTCCATTCGCTACCAAATGCGCAGCATGCAGCAGACATTTCACACACTTAAGCAGCGGATAGCCAGCTCCCAGAAGGGTCGAAAAAAGGGAGAAAAAGAAACGGGGGAGCAGGCAGAAGGCCTTAATCGTGGAACGGTGATGGGGGTTATGAATAATCCATGAACCTTATTGATTAGCCCTGGCGAAAGGGCGCAAAATGTGTCAAAGGGGGCGAGAAAGAAGGGACTATAGACACCAATCTGAAGCAATCAACTGTGTAACTATATATCGCAAGAACACACACCAAGCATTTAGACTCGAAAACAGATCCTATACTTTATATATATACACGCTCGAAGAAACACCCGATTGTAAGCACATTGGCCTGCTCTCTCCATTAACTTTGTGTTTTGTTTATCTCCAGTGATGATATGTCACTAAACCAGAAACTAAAACACAGGTAGTGTAGAGAGCAAATCATACCACAGACTTTTAGAGTAGAATTGAATAGCGTACTTTACGAAGAACCGAAATGTCTGAATGCACTTTTCCAAAATTTGCCTTAACATAATCGTATTTTGAGCTAGTTTTTGATACGACACGTTTTAAATGATACCCAAGATACATAACGTATTTAAGCTACACACAATGGCAACCTGTTTTTGGTTATTCTTGTGTTTGTTTCACTTTTTGGAGATTTGTTTGTTGACGTCTAGAAAAAATAAATGTTAAGTCTAAAAAAGGGGGAAGTTTTAAGCTCGATAACTTTCAAATTTGGCGCTATCAAAACCATCCGAGGCTCCAACCAATTAGTCGGGGTATTTTTATGGAACTTTCAATCGATAGATTTCCTTACTCTGATCGAGAGGTTTCTGAACACCGATTTACTAATTTTCCAACACTACCCCGCGGTCGCGATCGCGTAGTTCGTTTTATTCGCGTTTTTTGTTTCTTTTTGCGGTTCTTGCGGATAAAATGAATGTGCTTAAAGGAGCGTAAAAGCTTTCATCGAGTTTTAAAGAAAATCAGTGCAAAGATTGGTGAAACGAAAAGAAAGTGGAAGATTCTGCGGCTCTTGGTTGCGCGTCTGTGTGTTTGTGTGTAGGTGTAAGCGTTGGTCCATCGGTGTTTGTGTTTGAGCTAGTGTGTGCGTGTCAACATTTGTCGCAAAAAATATAAATCGTAAATTTTCATTGGGAAAGTGCAAGCAAGTGCAAGCTCAGGCTTTTTTTTTAGCCAACTAAGCGATTTTTTTGTTGGTAACCAAAAGCAGGCGCGCCGGCGCCCTTTGTTTTTGTTATTTTTGTTTGCCTACGTGTCCAACCATTGGGAAAACCCCCTAAAATGTGGGGTTTTTACCTTATCCTGATCCTCGCGAGTTTCGCAAGTGGGGAATACAGTGAAGTGCGGGTGGTTCAGGAAATCGACAACTTTCTGGAGAATCCCCACTATCTGAAGAACCAGGAAATCGGAGAACTATTCAGTCAGCTGGCCAAGGATTATCCCGATTTGGCACAGACATATACGATAGGTAAATCCCTGAAGGGCCGACCTATTTTTGCCTTGGCCTTGAGTGCACCCACTGGTGAGTCCAAAAATGGGGATCTCCTAAGGCCCATGGTAAAACTGGTTGCCAACATCAATGGAGACGAAGCGCTGGGTCGTCAGATCGTTCTCTATATGGCTGAATACCTCGCCACCCATTATGATGGGGATACGGAGGTCCAGAAGCTGCTTAATAGCACCGAAATCCATTTCCTGCCCACCTGCAACCCAGACGGATTCGCCAATGCCAAGGTGAGTCACTCATTTTTGTACTGTTTCCTCTGATTCTCTGTAATCAAGAATTCACGGCATACAATAAAAGAAATGGAAAAAAAACATCTGGTGGTGTCAAAATAAAAGTGATTGTGAAATCGCTGCTAGCTCTCTCACCCCTTTGTAAACCCCTTTCACTTATAGTTTTGAGATCACATTAGACGGAGAAAAAATTATTAATACTCTCTTAAAAGCTTGCAACAGCTTTTATATGAAGTATGATAATTTCACTATCAAAATGTGCATTTTTGATTATATTATTTGAAACCTGTTTCCACAACAAAAGCTTGCCAATTTTGAACCATTTTTAAACTGCCATACTTTAAAAAAACTGCATAAAAATGGTTTCCAGAAATATGACTCATATTTTTTTCCAATTTAAAATTGGGATGCTAAAAACTCTAAAAAAGTAGGTTCAGATTTTTTTAGTTTTGATGCCGGTGAACTTTTTGACCCCTGTTCCGCACAAAGGTGACCAAAGCTGTACCTTTGGAGGATATAACTTCGCTATTTCTGTTTTACGTCTCTTTTTTCTTAGGGTATATATAGCCACCTTTATCTCCACATTCTCGAATTCAATCTGTTGAGCTTTTGTCTGAACTTAGCCCGCTGAGTCTTTGTTTACCGGCGAGAAAAACTAAAGAACACGAAATGGAGGGGGCAAAAAACTACAATCTCCAAGAAAACAAGATCTTATGGCCCAACTACACAGAAAGTGTGATTGGAATGCTTTGGCCCACTTTTTCTCGCATGTGGGTAACCAACTTGTATGATCACTTAATTAGCAGCCACGAGTTCGAACTTGAATCTTAAAATCTTAGGTGAGACACTTAGCTCTCTTGAAAACTCCGTAGAGTGGTGCTCAAGTGCCCCTTAAGTTGCTAATGATGAATTTTTAAATATTTTTTTGTTTGTGGAATTCTATATTGTTAAATGGTTCACCTGAAATGCTTTTAAAGATTAATTGATTTAATCTTCATACTAAAAAGTACGAATTAAATCAAATGCCTACATTTAAACCGTCTTCAAGGTATATGATCAGTTTCAGTAAGCCAACAACAGTACGAAAATAATAACAATTTAAAAGGCATTATTACCAGCCTTATCTGCTTTATAATTGCCTGAGATCTTTGTGGATCTTGTCTGGCTTTTTATTTGTCTTAATGGCAACTGTTTTATTGCACATGGGCATTAACGACTAAAGCAGCCAAGTTAAAAAGCTGTTCAAATTAAGAATTGCAACTATTGCATAGCTAATAAATTCTAGTTAAGCCTATAAATATCTTAAATGGCCTTGTTTGCGACCGCATTTCGACACATCGATGGTTAACTTTTGATTCTGATTAGATTAAAGTGTTGGTCAATAAATTGAACAGGCTAATAAATCCGACGCGCACTGGGCACAATTTAATAATTTAGTTTTAGAAGTTTTTTGTTTTATTTATTTGTGAAGGGCACATCTCTGACCCACTAAAGTATATTTGTTCTCGATCAGCATCACCATCTGAATCGATCTAGACGTGTCTGTCTATCTGTCAGTTTCTTTGTAAACTAGCTTCTCAGTTTTAAAGCTATAAAGATTATATAAGTCAGAGCGGACGGGATCAGATCGAAAAGATAATGAACCGTTGATGACTCAAGGGTATATTAGCCTCGGCTCGCCGAACCTAGTTTCCTTTCTGTTTAATTCTTAAATTCCTTGCAAATTTGCTCTGTGAGCGGGTGTGATTATCTTTAGTGACAGTTTTATGGCCTCTCCAATAATCTGGTAATAAAGTAAACAAAGTTTGTCGGCCTGCTGACGTCATGATTTCGCAATTGCAACAGCGTCGACAAAAACTAACTGACGACTGGGGGTGGCACATTGAGCGGGTGAAAATGGCAATTACTTTACAAGAAACTGGTTAGATGTCTCAACAATAACAATATAAACAACAGAAGTAATCCACCGATGACGTTAATTTTTTTCTTCTTTTTATGTGTACTGCTGTTCACTTTATTTTCCTGCAATTGAGACACTTTATTCGCCAACCGGTTTGTTGTTGTTGATGTGGTTTTGCTACCGACAGTCGAGAGTGCTAAAAAGTTTGCCAATTTCCGCTGCACACGCGCCCGTTGGCAGTCTATTTTATTGCACGAGTGCACTTGCCAATCAACAGCTGTTCGCTCTAGTAACAAAATGCAGATTATATAAATTAGATATCTGGAAACGACGTGTAAAAATACTTTGAATATCAACAGGTGTTAAGAGCGCGTACATCACGTGTAACTAATATTGATATTTTTCTGTTCGGATTTGTAGTAGGGTGCAAGGAATTCAAAAAGCAAGTTTTCTTATCCTTACCATAAAATAGAAAATTGTTTATTTATTCGTTACAGTTTGGTTTTCAGAAGTTTTCAGAAAATGTATAATTGAGTCTTAAATAACATAACCATTCTTCTTTGTTTAGTATTAATAGAGATTGTAGTTGGAAAGGAATGTATGTATATAAATTTACTTAGGGTATCCACGGTTCGTGCCCACCTCATTTCTTAAACCCCGCGATTCCTCAAGGAAGTGCGTTTAATATAAAACTCTCCCGCTCTTTTCCACTCAGCCCGGTTTTGTTTTACCACTAAGCAGCTCTTCCATAAGCAGATCTGAGTTCAGCATTTAGTATAATTTTAATCAATTGAAACGGTGAGTGGAAGAGGAGAGGGAGAGAGAGTAGAAGTGGTGGAGCAGAAAGTGGCCATATGCTCGTGCCCGTATTTTTACTGATAACAGCGATTTGCCGCTCTCAATTTTGTGCCTGTGCCAATTCGGTTAGTTTATCAATGGGCCGGACACAAACACTTTGGCACGTACAGCTGCGGTAGAATTCAAAACACATTTTGCTCCTCCACAAATTTAAATTCACGTTTATACCATTAAAAAATGTAAAAACGGTTCTGATTTGGTTGGAATTATACAAACCAATATAAGAACAAAAAGTGTAAGTGAACGAAACAAATTTTTAAAGTGATATTTTTTCAACCGCTGCTGTACCATGCAAGCTACCTTTGTGTGGGTGGACCTTTTGGGCCGACGCAGGATGGGCTTTCCGTGACGTCACAGCGTGGGAGTAGAGTTATCGATTTTTGTGTAAAAATATCCTGTTGACGTCCGTTGTTTACCTCTCTACCGCATTTCCCTTGCCTCAGCCAATCTCTTTCTCTCTTACCCAAATATGCGCAGGCGCCCCACTTTTTGGGTCTGGCAACTCCTCCTCCTTTGGTAATAATAACACAATTAAAATGGCTTAAATAAACTATAAATACTAATCTGTGGCAGCCGAAATGAAAAAAAAAAAAACAGTAAAGTAAAGCTTTTCCACGAGGGTTTTTTAATGGCTTTGGCGCTCGGTGCTGCGTGTAATTTCCCTACAATTAACGCCTCTCTTTTGGCGTTTGGGGTTGCTCTCTTGGTACAAAGCACAGTGGGGTGAACGACCCCAAAATTGACTAGAAATCGTTTTTAAATTTATATAAATCTCCCTTTTGCCAATAAAACCTTGTAATATATCTTTGTACAAATTATGGCCAGCAGGTTTCTCAAAATTAAGCATGGGTTTTTATAGCGTTGTGTGTTTGCTCCATCCCACTGTGCAACGCCGACTGAGGCAGCGACAGCGATTGCGGGCGAATGGGCGCTTAAGGCCAATCAACGCAGCAAATTTTCAAACAGTTCATTTTTCGAGACTGAGCTGCAACGACGACGACCCACGACGAACGGACGCCCGACAGACCACAAAAAAGAGAGCGAGCGACAGCGAGCGAGCGGTGGAGGAGCTGCTGGAAGAAAATAACTGTATCTCGCTCAATTCGCACTGAAGTGATAAAAACAACAGACAATCTCGAAATCAAAGTCGAAAAGATTGCAAATCACGACGAGATGGTGTCTCTGGGCTTTTTGTTCGTAAGCCTCCTTTTGGGTATATCCTGCATCAATGGGTTTATCATCAAGGAGGACGAGTCCTTCCTGCAGCAGCCGCACTATAGCAGCCAGGAGCAGCTGGAGGATCTGTTCGCCGGCCTGGAAAAGGCCTATCCGGATCAGGCCAGGGTGCACTATTTGGGCCGTTCGTTGGAGGGCAGAAACCTGCTAGCTCTGCAAATCTCTCGGAATACCCGGTCTAGGAATCTCCTAACTCCCCCGTCAAGTACATAGCCAATATGCACGGCGACGAGACGGTGGGCAGACAGCTCCTCGTCTACTTGGCCCAATATCTTCTCGGGAACTACGAACGGATCAGTGAACTGGGACAGCTGGTCAACAGCACGGACATCTATCTGATGCCCACCATGAACCCAGATGGCTTTGCGTTGTCCCAGGTAAAGAAAACAACAAAGTTTGTCGGGGTCACCTGTTGGGACGCGTGTTTTGGTTTTTGTCTCGGGTGAAAAATCAATAACTGGAAGAGGTGGCACTGGAGGAAGGGTCCCTAAGGAAACGGGATGTGCGAGCAGGACCACTATAGAATTTTTGGGAACAACAAGGCGTAGAATCCACAAGGATACGTTTGCCAAAACGATAACTCAATTAATTTCAATTAGTCACCACATTTTATCATTTTGTTAAAGCGGTGACTAAATGCGTTACTCTTATTCATCATAACGTTTTTCTTAGCCTACGCAAAAATCCCTTGGCCTCTGCCTACGTTAAAGTATTTCACACAGAAATGCTTAAGGGCGTGTTTTTAACGTGAATTGTTATCTGAACAAATGTTTATTGGACCTTCGTTTGATAAAAATTTAAGGAGAAGTTTTGGGGAAAAAAGCCGCACAATTTTATCATCACAAGCTTTACTAGAAAATATTTTTAAATAGCAATACAACTTCGTTTCATAGCTTGTTCGTCTCTCTGTAGATTCACACTTTAAAATTACCTCGTCCCCCTTTGAAATGTTGACATATTGCGCACAAACACACCTGACTGATGATTTTCTGCTCGTTTGTTTATTATTAACTTCTTGAATCGTCGTGTGAAATGTGGAGTAACCACAAACATGCAATTACTATAGTTGCTCTCCCTCGATTCGTCATTGTTGTTGTCGCAGCCCCAAAGGTCAGATTAATATACAATCTGGCCGATGGTCCCGCGGGTATTTCCAATTGATTAGCTATATGCAAACACTCGCTTATATTGGCAATCGGAATATACACGTAATCTTCGAAAACAATCTGTACTGCTTCCACTTTATTGTTTTATCCCTCGATTACCCTTTACATGTTTTTCCCATCTGAGCTTCCGATCGGTAGCGTGGTCATTGTGGCTATAATGATGACATGATCCATTTAACTGGGTTTAATGGTCTAACTTGTTGATTCTGCAGTGGTGGCCACACGGGGAAGAACCCCTCTCGTTCAGTCATCTGATTTAATTGTGTTGTTTCCCACTTTCTGATGTCCATAGTCTATAGTTTTTGTTCTGATTGATTGATGGCTGTTCCGATTCGCCAATAAAATAATCGGAAGGGGGCAAACTGATGCGTTCTGTTTGGCTCGCTCTATTGCACAATATTATTTCAAATATCGATCGGAGGCCTTTCTTTCGCCGCGATTGTTATGGTGTAATCACTCGGTTGACACCTGACTGCCATGCTAAATGGCCAATTCCGGTCAGGACTGACCTGCATGCCAATCAGCCCATAACAGAGTGAAAGACAGAAAGAGAAACTTTTAATTTAGCCAAAACCATATGGGTATTTCCATCATCTGGAAGTGTCACTATTTTGGGAATACGGCATAAAATAAATAAAGCACACTGCAAAAATCTATTTTTTAAACTTCAAAGTCATGTTTATAGTCATCTTGTTCTGTTTTGGGGTCAATTCTGATAATGCGTGGGGTCTATAAATATGTGTTTTAATATGTGTTTTATGTTCGTTGCAGGAGGGCAACTGCGAATCGCTGCCTAATTATGTGGGTCGTGGCAATGCGGCCAATATCGATTTGAATCGCGATTTCCCCGATCGCCTGGAACAAAGTCATGTTCACCAGTTGCGAGCCCAGTCCCGTCAACCGGAAACGGCGGCCCTCGTCAATTGGATCATCAGCAAACCGTTTGTGCTCTCTGCCAATTTCCATGGCGGAGCCGTGGTGGCCAGTTATCCCTACGATAACTCCTTGTAGGTTCTGCAAACCAATCATGTTACCTCTATCCTCTATCCACACCTTGTTTTTTAGGGCCCACAACGAATGCTGTGAGGAGAGTTTGACCCCAGATGATCGGGTCTTCAAGCAGTTGGCCCACACTTATTCGGACAACCATCCCATTATGAGCAAGGGCAATAATTGCAACGACAGCTTCTCGGGCGGCATCACCAACGGAGCCAATTGGTACGAGTTATCCGGCGGCATGCAGGACTTCAACTATGCGTTCAGCAACTGCTTCGAGCTGACCATCGAGCTGTCCTGCTGCAAATATCCGGCGGCCAGCACATTGCCCCAAGAGTGGCAGCGCAACAAGGGATCACTGCTGCAGCTGTTGCGTCAGGCGCATATCGGAATCAAGGGTCTGGTAACGGATGCCAGTGGCTTTCCCATAGCCGATGCCAATATCTATGTGGCCGGACTGGAGGAGAAACCGATGCGCACCTCCAAGCGGGGCGAATACTGGAGGCTTTTGACACCGGGCCTCTACAGCGTGCATGCTGCCGCCTTTGGGTTGGTTTTCTAAGTACTCTTTGTGGTGCGAAATGCTTGCTAATGTGTCGTTTTTTTGATTCCCCGATATGCAGCTACCAGACCAGTGCCCCCCAGCAAGTGCGAGTGACCAACGATAACCAGGAGGCCTTGCGCCTGGACTTCAAACTGACGCCCGTTGAGACGAACTTTGATGGTATTAGCAGTTTTTACAGCCCCTATTATTTCTAGAGAGGGCTGCAACGGATATACATATATATATATGCGCATATATAATTTAGTCGCCAGCTAGAAAACAAAAACACACACCAACCCACAAACCCACACACATAGCCATGCCATGACCTGCACCTAGTTGGCCTGCTCCTTCTGCTCACTCCGCACTCGTTTGTACTATATACATGTATATGTTATTTCCTCCTTGTTTCCCCCCAACTCGATCTCGACCGTGATCCCCTTAGCATGTCCTTGTCCTGGTCCTTCTCATCCAGAAACTGGATTCGCTTTCGCGCGAGAGCTGTTGGGAAATATAAAATGTTTCGGCTTTCGCGTGGAAGCTTTCTGTTTCGTTCTTCCTCGAATCTATCTTATATATATGTTTCCTAAGTTTTCATTTGTTGCATTTATGATTTATTTCCATTTACGTACCATTACGTACTGCCAGCCTATGTTAGCTATCTCTCTCCCACGCCATTATCTCTGTCTTTATTACGCACACACTCAGCGAAAAAGTTTGATTTGTACATAGGGAATGGAACAAATACCAAACCAAGTAACGACTTGAAACACAATAATCGAATAAGCAAATTGTACTTAGGAATTTATAAAGAAATCAGCCCACATAAAGGTCATCGAATGACCCATACGAACAAAAAATACAAAAATCCAATTTGAAGCGGTTTTAGCTTGATCTCCCTGCCCTTATCGTCCCCACCCCCAAAAATATACTGTGGAGTATTTTAGCAACGATGAGCAAAAACTATGATAAACACAACAAAAAAAAAAAAAAAAAACCCACGCATATATATCCACTATATACACATGCTGCTCTATATACTATCACTATCGATATAGATTGTATGCGAACCATATGGTTACTCCTATCAGAAACGATTGTTGATCATTTTCCCAGTAAAAAAAAGAAAAAACATTCCTTTGAAAGTAAAGCGAAATTATTACCAGTAACGATCCAACTTATTATGTAGCACACATGCTCAAGTATGGCTTTTAAAATATATATATATATGTACGATGTTGACGAGACCTGGCTGAAATTGATTGCAGGGTTTTTGCATTGGCCTGACAGTATTGGGGGTACATTAAGTCCTTTGCTAAGGATGAATAAAATTTTGATTTCCGCTTGCGTTTTATTTTCACAAATGGTTCATTATTTTGGCAACCTTAGCATCTTTCGTTGGTTTCATATATGAATATTTATTGTTTTACCTTTGGATATGGGTTTATTATTTTAATAATATTTTCGTCGCTTTGGATTTTTGTATTTTTTGATTTTAATGCCAGTAGAACTTTACAAGTGTTCCGTATTTTTCTTTTTTTTCCCTTAGTTTCCGTCGCCGACCTCGTAAGTTTGTATATATCTTTTGCTTTACGATTGTTTAAAAGTTGGGGACATATCCGGGAAATGTCGAGTCACATCTAAAGAAATTTTAATTGTATATTCCACTAAGTACCTACATTAAAGAAAACGAATGAAAAGCGCAGTGGTGCCAAAAGTCAAACTATACTTCTAGATTTCTAAATAGACATGTTTTCTATATATATATATAAACATATATGTATGTATGTATGTATGGTACTTAATCGTATAAGAGTCAAGCATTTTCTTTGGCATTTTACTTGGATTTTATCTCAAATAAATGTGAACTATGAAATTATGGCAAAATAAACGAACGAAATTATGCATTTGCTTGTGCTTGTGATTCTGCTGCTGATTTTAACTCTTCCGCCGCCAAATCTTAGACGCACTGCAATCATCCCACTCCCTTCCCCCTGACCATCACCAGGCACCCCCGCATGTGGCACCCTTATGAAAAAAAAAACTGGCATGACTACACGTACACAATATCCTCACCCATTTCCGTTCTCCCCTCCCGCAGGCAACTTCCGGAAGGTGAAGGTGGAACGCTCGGAGCCCCCGGAGAAGCGCAAGGAGCAGTTCAATGGATTCCTCACCCCCACCAAGTTCGAACACCACAATTTTACGGCCATGGAGAGGTGAGAACTTGGATCTTTTTGCTTTAGCCTAAATTATTCTTGAGATTTTTTAAGATTTATTCACCCCAACACCATTGCCTTTCCTTTGCAGCTACCTGAGGGAGATTTCCGCCAGCTATCCTTCGCTGACCCGCCTCTACAGCATTGGCAAGAGTGTCCAGGGCCGTGACCTTTGGGTGCTGGAGATCTTCGCCACCCCGGGATCCCATGTCCCAGGAGTGCCGGAGTTCAAGTACGTGGCCAATATGCATGGCAACGAGGTGGTGGGCAAGGAAATGCTCTTGCTCCTCACCAAGTACATGCTGGAACGGTATGGCAACGACGATAGGATAACCAAGTTGGTGAACGGCACCAGGATGCACTTCCTGTACAGCATGAATCCCGACGGCTACGAAATGTCCATCGAAGGCGATCGAACCGGCGGAGTTGGTCGGGCAAATGCTCACGATATTGATTTGAACAGAAATTTCCCCGATCAATATGGCACGGATAGGTTCAACAAGGTGACGGAGCCGGAGGTGGCTGCTCTGATGAACTGGACACTGTCATTGCCATTCGTACTGTCCGCCAACCTGCACGGAGGCTCCTTGGTGGCCAACTATCCGTTCGACGACAACGAAAATGATTTCAACGATCCGTTCATGCGACTAAGGAACTCGAGCATCAATGGACGCAAGGCGAATCCCACGGAGGACAATGCCCTGTTCAGGCATCTGGCCGGGGTCTATGCCCAGGCGCATCCCACCATGCACTTGGGCCAGCCGTGCGAGCTCTTCCACAACGAATACTTCGCCGATGGCATCACGAACGGTGCTCAGTGGTACAGTGTCACGGGGGGAATGCAGGACTGGAATTATGTGAGGGCCGGCTGCCTGGAGCTAACCATCGAAATGGGTTGCGATAAATTCCCGATGGCCGCGGAGCTGCCCCGCTACTGGCAGGATAATCGGGAGCCCTTGCTGCAGTTCATCGAGCAGGTTCATCACGGCATCCACGGATTTGTGCACAGTACGATTGGCACTCCGATCGCCGGAGCTGTTGTTCGTTTGGATGGGGCCAACCACTCGAGCTACAGTCAAACCTTTGGCGACTACTGGAAGTTGGCCCTGCCGGGTCGACACAACCTCACCATCTTGGGCGACAACTATGCTCCGCTGCGGGTGGAAGTCGAGGTGCCCGAGGGCGAACCGTTCGAGATGCGCATGGACGTCACTCTGATGCCCGATGATCCGCAGCACTGGGCCTCCGCCAATGACTTCAGGATCATCGAGAACGTGGTCAACACACGGTACCACACCAATCCGGAGATTCGTGCCCGACTGGCCGAGCTGGAGAACCAGAACGGTCAGATCGCCAGCTTTGGTTATGCCGATAATGAGTTTAGCAGATACTTCAACTACCTCAAGATGACCTCTGATGTAAGTGACGGCCTGTTCAACGGCAGAAACAATAAAACTAATTGTATTTACACTTTGCAGATTGGCGAGCCCGAGGAGCACAAGTACAAGTTGCTGGTGGTGAGCTCCCTGTACGACACAGCCGCTCCTTTGGGCAGGGAAATTGTGCTCAACCTGGTCCGTCACCTCGTCGAGGGCTTCAAGGTGCAGGATGTCTCGGTGGTCGAGCTGCTGAAGCGCAGTGTTATCTACTTCCTGCCGCAGACCAACAGGTTCCACGACGTCTTCGAAATGTACAACGTCAAGTATGTGGAAAACCTTATCCGACTTGTATCTGGGTGTCACCTAAACCCTTCATATCCATTTTAGCTCCTCCATTTGCGATCCCGTGCTGGGCGATGAGCTGGCTGAACGTATCTTGAACCCGGAAACCGATCAGGCCAAGGACATGTTTTTGCAGTTCCTGCGAAGCGAACGCTTCGACTTGATGCTAACCTTCGGCGCCGGCAGCTCCGAGTTGAGTTACCCCAAGGGCGATTCGGTGCTGGAGAAGTTCGCCCACGGAATGCAGCGAACGGAGTTCAACTACTCGCCCCTTCAGTGCTCACCATCGGCGACAAGGCAGGCGCATCGGGAGACCACGGAGCGGTTGACCAATTTGATGTACCGCATGTACAACCTGCCCGTTTACACACTGGGCATCTCCTGCTGCCGGATGCCGCACCACAAGAAAATCGCCTCCGTGTGGCGCAAGAACATCGATAAAATCAAGAACTTCCTGTCACTGGTGAGGACCGGAGTGAGTGGCTTGGTGCAGAACGACAAGGGTCAACCGCTGAGGGAGGCCTTTGTGCGGCTGCTGGAGCACGAGAGGATCATCAACGTGACCAGGAATGCGGCGCGATTCCAGTTGATGCTGCCCCATGGTCTCTATGGCTTGGAGGTGACAGCCCCCAACTACGAATCGCAAATGATCAAGGTGGAAGTGCACGATGGCCAAATCACGGATCTGGGCATCATCCGAATGCACGCATTCACGCTGATTCGCGGCGAGGTTCTCGAGTTGCCAAATAAAGCGGGTGGAGCTACCACAAGCATTTCGGGCATGGTGTTGGACGAAAGCAACCATCCGGTGCGCAATGCCAAGGTCTCAGTGGTGGGTCAAACCCAGCTGAGGAACTTCACCAACAGCATGGGACAGTACCACATATCGTCGGTGCCTTTGGGCTCTATCAGCCTCAAGGTGGAGGCACCGCGTCACTTGGCGGCGGAGCGGCAATTGCACCTGAATCAGGGCGGCTTGGCCACCGAGAACGTAGTGTTCCATCTGAAGGTTAACGAGCATGTCTTCGGACTGCCGCGCTTCCTGTTCATCCTGTTCGCCAGCATTCTGATCATTGTGGGCGTCGTCGTCTGTGTGCTGTGCGCACAGTTTTGGTTCTACCGACGCCACAGGGGAAACAAGCCGTACTATAACTTCTCACTGCTGCCCCAAAAGAGCAAAGAGCAGTTCGATCTGGACGATGAGGCCGGCGATGATGGCGAGACGGAGCTCTTCCGATCGCCCATTAAACGTGAGTTGCCTTATTAGGGAAAACTCATGAAGCCTTATTAAAACTTGATCTGCTTCTTCTTTAGGGGGCATGACCATTCAGCCGTACTTCGACGAGGAGCAGCTGGAGCGCATCCTGCACACGGATGACGAGGACGATGATGGGCCGCACATGGAGCCGGAACTGGACATCGCCGACGACAGCGGCGATGAGATAGTGATGCTGCATAATCACGGGAACAAGCGCCGGCACTAGATGTGCACCGATTCCGTGATTAACAACCAATCTCAACGGTCCCGAACATCAGGAACAACAACTTGATCCAGGATCCTTTGCAACCACACGACAACCACACACAACATAACTGTGATTCAAAACGTTTTCAAGAAAAACCAACGCAAGGCATTGCTCTACCTTTTTTTATTTTTGTGTAATATATATATATATATGTATCCCTAAAGCGTAACTTAATTATTCAATGTACAATGAAACGATTTACGCATGCGCTTTAATGTTAGTGAAGCTTGCACCTAGAATGCATCACAATCGTCAGCTTTAAAAAGAGAAAGTTGTGCTCCAACCCACTCGGCGAATCTCTCTTCCATTCCCTTGTCCTTATAGCCCGTTTATTCAGAGTTTATATATCTGTATATCTGTCCAGCCAGGAGAACTGTAAGCATAACCGTAACTTAACTTAAGACTGAGAGCCTTGCAACTCTAGCAAAAAAGACGAAGGAATGTAAGGATATGAAGAGAAAAATTGAATAGCGAAATATTGAAATGTACTATATAGGAAAGACCCTTTAAATGATTTACTTAAGAATCACAGCCAAATGCATACAGAGTGGTATAACTTTGCTTTATTTTTAATAACTTTTTGCAATTATTAAACTTTTATTTATTTTCATAAATTTCTTGAATTTTTTTTGCTTTTATGGCTTTAAATAAAATACAATTTTGAGTTTAATAACTATTTAATATTTATTGGCATAAATTTAAACAACTGTATGCAAAATATTGGAGATTCCATTCATTTGGCTTTCAAATTAATTATTACAAAAGCAGCTAGGAAAAAGAAAAATCGAGTAGATTCCTAATTAAAAATAATCATAACATAACCAGTTAACAGCTTTTGTAATATTTTTTCTGGATGCCTAACTTATTGAATACAAATATACACAAAAAAAAAATATATAAAAAACAATATTATTGTATGCATATAAATATGTACTGCACGATTTTAACTTAATGAGCACTCAAAGACAAACCCGTAGTAAATGAAGGAAAAAGGAGTATTTTCCACAAGGTGCAGCATTTACTTATCTATACATATATATACATACTTATATCGTATACATATCCACAAATATGGCAATTATAACTATGTAAGCAACAATCTGAATAAAATAATAATGTACCTACAAATCGACGAAGAGAAAACATTCCGATGAAGCCCTGAGTCAGGGGCGGACGCAGGGGGGGTGTTTGGGGGGTCCGGACACCCCCCAAAATCGCAGACTTTTTCAAATTCCCTTACAGCACACGGCCTTTCAACCATATAAACTAAAAATTTTTTTGACCGGACCCCCCCAAACGAAAAAATTTTTCGACCGGACCCCCCCCAAAATTTTTTTCTGCGTCCGCCCCTGCCCTGAGTATTTGTAATCTCAAACTGATCGAGGCCAACTCGAGCTTCCTGATCAGATGAATCACAAATATTATTGTTTGTGTTGTATTTGAATGATGTTTTGTGTGGCAAATGAAAATGTTTAACAGATTATGTTCAATTCACATTTTATTGATATCAATCTAAATTTAAATTTGTATTTGTTTCTGTTTACACTTTGTTTCTGTAAATTCGATTTGTATTCCTTTCCGTTAAGAGAAATCTAAATTGTATTCACTCCATGAAATGTGTGGCACAACTCTGCGTGGCAGAAGTTGAATTGAATGCCCCCTTCGCTATGTACACACTGTGAAATCTGTAACCCCAGGCCAAGCCAAAGGCAAAGCCTTCGTGAAAGTGCGGCTTTGACCATAGCCACTGTTGTCGTTAGAGCCAGGATCAAGGTTATCTGGCGATAGCCGCCTTATCGCCCATCCAGCTGCTCTCGCTCCCTCCGAACAGCCACTACAATGTCCGCCGATCTCCGCTGAACTGTCGCACAGGCATTATCAGGGGCTTCAGAGCCAAGAGATAGTTGTCGTTCGCATCGTCGAACGTTGTGGCGTTGTGGCGACACAAAGCCACAGTTGTCTCTGTTGTCCTCAGTTGCGGATTTTCCAGCGTTGCGAGCAGAACCCAGAACCCAAATAGATCACAGCCCAAAAAGCGCACACATCATCATCATCATGTGGTGGAGCCGTAAGTTAGCCTCGAGGTGTCTCCGCCTCCATCGGGCCCAGAGCACCCAAAGCACCCAAAGCACTCGAAGCAGTGCCTCCAGGCAGCCGGAACAGAGCCTGGGCATCATTGGAGTGCCCTTCGCCAAGGGACAGGGCAAACAGGGCGTGGAACTGGCCCCGGATCTCCTCCGGCAGAGCAGTCTGCGTCAAATGCTGCAGAGCAGTCACGGTAAGTGAGAAATAAATATGTGGCTCCCATCTTGGAAATATATTTACCTCCAGGAAACATTATTAAATTCCCTTTGATTACCTTTGATTACCAACAAGAATTATTAGCTGGTAAATGTTGTTTTCCCAATTAACAGTCATTGCTTCCATAGATTAAACAAACGGAAATGCTACTCTTTCGCGAATAATAAATAACTTCAATGACTTGCAGCTTTTGCAGTGATAATACGATGATTTTAGAAAGTGGTTTCAACTAACAAAATAAATGCCAAAATAAAATCTTATTTCCAAAGCAGCCTTAAAGATTTTCAAGTTTTTTTTAAGAATTAAAACAAATTTCAAAATGCTTGTGTCAATAAACTGCTTTATTGCCCAGATGGCCTGGTGATAAGGGACTACGGAAATCTGCAGTACGCCGTGGACGAGCCCCTTCTCCAGCAGCAACGGGTGCACTACCACCACATCCGGAACTACGCGGACTTCATGGCCTGCAATCGGGCCCTGATCGAGCAGGTGAAGCTCATGCTGGCGGAGAACTCGCAGTTCCTGGCCATTGGCGGCGATCATGCGATCGGTTTCGGTGAGTGGCGTTCCTCCCTCCTCACACATCCTTCGGCGTTCGGAAGTCCAAAAACCGATCCCCGATCCGCTATTTTTCGCAGGATCTGTGGCCGGACATCTGCAGCACACGCCGAACCTGTCGCTGGTGTGGATCGATGCGCATGCGGACATTAATCTGCACAGCACCTCGCAGTCGGGCAACATCCATGGGATGCCCGTGTCCTTTCTGCTGGAGCAGCTCCGAACCACCTGGCAGCACGCCGGCCTCCAGGACATCGCGCCCAACTGGTGAGTCTTCCACTAAGGCAAATACTCTTCACACTGGGTTACAATCTCGGGTTAAAGTGTATACTCGATAAGGTTTCCATAAGCTAGAATTGCCTGGAAAGCATTTAAAATTAACACTAGAACACAGTTTCGCCGCAGTGTGAAAGTGGCATTACGCTTAGATCGCTTACAACCGCAGTGTGAAAGTGGCATTATGCTTAGATCGCTTACAACCTAGTCAAGTCGCACTTAAGTCTCTCCGGGGGTTATTTATTCCATATTATATATATATTATATATTGTTTTTTTTTTTTAGTGGAGTTCGGGGTGGGGTTTGCTGGGTGGGGTATTTTGGCGGGGGGTTTGTTCGCCTTATCACAGTTGCCTTAACGAACTAAGAATTATTTTTGCTTTTTTGATTCTTTGCTTTGACTTTTGTTACTCGATTTGTTTTTCTCTGGTTTCAGCATTACTTTTTGTGCTTGCCTCAGTCTTTGTGTTTAGTTGCTATCAACCTTTAATCTGCTTATTCATAGATTATTTAATTTACATATTGCTTTTTTTTTTGCCTTAGGCAGTTCGGTTTCGTGCTTTTCTTCCAAGGTTGGAAAGTCAGTCGAGAAGGTAGAAAACAAGTTAACTGAAGAGAGAGAGATTAAATCAGAGATCACAGTTAAAAAAGGAACCCAAGCTGCGGGGAATCCCCGGAAATCAAACGAAAATTCGAGCTCTACTCACGCGTTCTATATGCTTTGCTTTCTATATAGCGCTCTAAACCTATTTAATATACACAAGACCTCGTGAGCGGGGGGTTTGGGCGTGGATGGTGCTTTTGTTTTTCGGTTGGGGGTGAAATTTAAAAACTGATATTCTCCTCAACTCGAACTGAAAACATGTAACCAATCGGTTTGTTAATAGGCATATTCCTACATACACGAAAAATCACAAATAATCACAAAGAACGGACAGAATAACTGGCACTGAATAAAAACCCAAGTAAAAACGAAAATCAGATTTATGTACATTATCAGACAAAGACTCTCGACCAACAAAATAATTTTGTAATTGTAACACTCATCAGTCGAAAAGAAAAGGGACTCTTCTGTCTTCCAAAAATAACTTCATTTGGACATACTCAGACTTAAAATAAGTCCAGAGTTCGACTTTATATTGGTCTATCTTCTTTTTTTGGTTAATTTTCTTTGAGTTTCTGAGATATGGGTGGAAGTGGGAGGTGTGAGGATGGTGGATTGTGCATTGCTGGTTGAAAATCAAATCTATAAACTAGAAAAAGCTTTCAAATTCAAACTCTTTGGAATTGAAAATCATTTGTGGCTCTCGAGGGTTTTTGTTTTCGAAATTACAGTACAGAACTTAAGTGTTTCCCTCGTGTGTGAAGAATACAAATCATGTATGTACATATGTACATATGTTCATCAACTGGTAGGGTTTTCGGACTGGGAATCATGGATTAGGATCTGTGGACATCTGTGGTTTATGCTTTAAATAATTACAATCAATATTAAATATTAAAGTATCAATCAATCAATATAATTACACAATCATTATCGTTTTAACCAAGTAATCAATTAATTAATTCAATCGAAATTGAAGAACTTGAAGAAATGTGTTTGAAATATATTTTGTTTGTTTTTGGTTATTTTTTTTTTTTTTTTTTTTTTTTTTTTGGCATAAATTCAATTTAAAATCGAACGAACAACAAGAACACGCCTGAAAATAAATCAAGAGAAAGAAACAAATTAGAAAATGCGTCGTAAATTATTATATCGTTTGCTGCAGGATTTTCATGTGTTAACTTTACAGTTTTTGTTTGCTACAAATAGATTAATAAAAAGAGAAAGAAACCATTTAGAGAAATCATCAGTTTTGCTGACAAAATGTTTATTGGGAAAAATGTGTGCCAAAAATTGTACAGATTGGCGCTAGATCGATCGGTCCGACCGCCGCCGCGATTTCTTCTCCGATTACTTACCGAAACAATAAAAGTGAGTGAGGTATACGAACAATACAACAATATATAACAACGGCAACAACGAACTGAAAATCGGAAATCCGGAAACGAAAATCGGCTACGGATTGATCGGGTAATAGATATATGTATACTGTCGCCCAGAAAGAAAGTAACGAAAGTAACAAAGTAATTGCCTCCATATCATCATCATATCATCGATAAATCTTCCTTCTTAGTTGGATTAGTAAACTGGGACCAAAGAAGCCAACGTTTAAAATACACTGAGCCAAATCATAAGAGCAAAGAAAGAGCATACTCTTATTGAGAACGGGGCACTCAAGAACTGAAACAAATTTTGGTAATAGAGAGTGTGGTGTAGCTGTCTGTAAGTGTTAAATACACTGTAAAATACACAACCGAGGATATAAACGTCTTAGATAGTAAAAATAGATTGAACATAAGCCAACAAAAAGACCATGTTTCCAAGAGAATTCAAAATATTTCAACTCGATCAAAAAACCAGAAATGAAATTAAACCAAGAACCACAGCTAGAATAAAAAAAAGAAGAAGGGGAACCAAAATCATACTCAAACTTAAAACAAAAGTTAGGTGTGTTCTGATATATACTATATAGAGAGATATACATATATATGCAAAAAGCAAGAAAAACTCATAATCATATATTTTGAAATACATTTATAATATTAATATCTTTTTCTCATTTGCTTGTATTCGTTTTTTTTTTTTTGTTTTTTGTATTGTTTTCCATTTTGAAATATCATTTGAAATGTGTGATAAATATTATTAATTAATTAATTAATCGATATAAATATGTTAATAAAATAAATAGTTTTCTCCTTCTCGTCGCCGTCTTCTTTTAATCATAATAAATATATATAGAAAGGTATATATATCCTTGTTTTTGTTGTCAATGATTATTAACGGTATTATTTGTGTAATCTTTATCGCTAACGTTAAGCAATTTTTGTTCTCTGTCCATCGAAATGATAGATAAACTTTGCTCTAAAAATTACAAAAATTACATACAATAAAGCAATACAAAGATACAGGTTTAAAAATCATACACAGAACATGTGGCGACATGTTCCCACATACATATATATAAATCAAGGGACTGTACTTTCTCCGCTAAACTAAACTATGAGAATCATATATTATAAGCACTAAAAATAATGGCGTTACACAAATTAAAAGTATTCTTGTTTGCACACAAATAATATCGCAACTGGCAGAGTCTCTAAACCGAGCAACAAAACTGGAATGCATTGTATCTTTGGGTTCTTTTTCACGGGGATTCCCCATTAGGTCTTGGACGTTTCGAGGGCTAAACCCAAATAGGGGCGATCGGGAATGTCCTTTTGCTGAGATCAACAGATTTTGATGGCACCTCTATTAAAATGGGCCTTGACTAGAACGATTCCTATATATGTATGTATGTTTAAGTGGTCTTCTGTTTCTGTAAGTGTATAATAGCGAGAGGGAGAGAGGGATAGAAAGGATAACCCTAAGGTTGAAGGATCGGTTAAAGAAATAGTTCGAGGTAGGAAAATCATACAGTTTAAAAAACAATCAAACCAAAAAAGTAACAAATAAATAAAAATGATGCTAAAATTTTCATAGTTCTTTTTTTATTGAAAGTAAATTTTTTCTTCATGTTTTTTGTTTTTTTTTTTACTTGTTTGGTGCAGAAATCAAATAAAATCATAAGAGTAAACATAAATTTGAAATGGATCGTAATTGTCAAACATAATTCGTTGCATAATTAGATCAAAAAGGAAAATACACAAAATTAAAGAAAGGAAATAAACCATATTAAATAATAATAAACATAATTATAAAAGTCATTCGATAGGATTCACAGGAATCTCTCAGCTAACATGGATTTACATGATAACATAAACACAGGTCGTTAATAGCTAGTTAATAACTAAAACCGCTGTGTAGTGTTCTTGTTGCTGTGACAGATCAAATGGGTGTAGCACAAAATCATAAATTAAAACTAAAACTAAAACATAAGAGGTTTTGCTGAAACGAAATCAAAATGGTTTTAAACAAAATAAAATACAAGGTACAAAATTAAAATTGTTCCAAACATAGAGGTTAAGAGAAAGATATATTCAGATTCAGACAAGGAGAGATTTGGAGAAGAGAGAGTTATAGATTTCGGATATTATATAGGCGCGTATTCCCCCTCTCTCTCTCTCTTTCTTTCTTTCTTTCTTCATGTTTTGGGTGTATAATTAGACTAATTCTTCATCATAATCTTCTGCTCATCTTCGCTTTGCTCGAAATCAAAGGAATATTGAATTCAAATTGAATTAAATTAAATTACGTAATTATAAAAATACAATAAATAATGTTTTTCTTTTGTTTCGTTTGTTTTCTTGGTTCTTTGCTTACTTAAATAGGTAAAGAAAAATTATGAGATATAAATATATGTATGCGAAATACATATCAAATTCGCTTAAAAAATATTTTTTGTATATTTTGTTAATTTTTTTTGTAGTTACTGTGGCTTGCTTTGTTTCTCGATTTTCGGTATAATTGAATAATTATAGCTTTAAATTCATAATCTTAATAGATTTCATGTTCTTGTTTCCTTTACTTAAAGAAATTATAATCTGTAATTTTAGTTTGAGATACTTGAAAATTTGTTGCAAGTTTGTTGCTGTTGTTTTGCTGTTAGTTGCATTTTAAAACTATTGCACAAGAATTAATACAATTAATTAGATTATCGATGACAAAAAATATAATTATATATATATATTAAAGGATTAGTTAATTAAATTAAATATTGAATATACATATATATAAATATATATAGAATAACATATATATATGTATATATATGTGTGAGCATATGTGATGACAGAAATACAAATTAAACAAAATCAAGTACATAATCTCTGCCTCCACAGAATTTTCTTCCTGTCTTCCTGTCCTACAGTGTGTGTCCTTATGTGGGTGTTTAAATAAACTAGCAGATTGTATATAATGTATTGCAAATGTATTCGGAAAAGCAGCAAGCCAAGATATCTGGGGAATCCCAGTTTTGGCATGATGCTTGCCTTTTTTGCTCCCCTCTACTCTGAGGGGTTTCGAGGGGCTTAATCTTTGGAAAGGGGAGAGCACGCCGCTTCAATCAATCGTTTATTAGCTAGAAATTGCCATAGTTCTTTTGGTTTTGATCTACCATTCTACTTTCTTATATGCGGCTGCCCCGAAAGTTACTTCTCCTTCATCGGAATCTTCTTCTTTTCCATCTTCTGACTAGATTTCTTGTTGCGAATTTTGTTCAAACAAAAAAAAAAGATTTCTTTGTTGGCCTATAGTTAGTCAAAAAAATAATTATATTTAAGATATATATATGTTACTATATATATCGAATTACACATAGCGCTAGGTATCGTAATAATAATCAAAGTTAAACCAATTTCTATTTCGCTTTTTGGGCTCTGTTCAATGCTTGTTGCAACTTAGATTAAGAATTTATGCTATTTGGAGAGAGAACTCAAAATTGATCGGGTGTTGTGTCATCTTGGGTTAACTTTATAAACAAATTAAACACAAATCATTCGTATAAATATGCATGGTTGGGTCTGACTGGTTTTATGGACTGGATGCAGGAGCCTATTATTAAGTTCAATTTGTGTACAAAGCAAACAAAGAAATCAAACAAAACTTAATCGAAATACGTAATACGGAATACAGAATATAGAATATAGAATCCAGAATCGAAATTATATATGCAGATATTCATGTGTGTTCGGTGTGTGTCTCACTCTCTCGCTTTAACAATCAAAAGAAGCAAAGAAATATACGGAAGTTGAACTGATAAAGTAACGCAAAAATTGCACAAAAGTTTTAGGTTTGGACAAAGGGGTTAATGGGGTATTATATATGTAGGAAGTGCAGGGAGTTATCCTTGTCTATATGTTGCCCTCCCCTTTATCCTTCTTTAACTTACTTGGCTAGAGAAATCGCTTTGCTAATGCTTTTGCATACACCCTTCTTCAATCGTAACTATTTCTTTTTTTTTTTTTTGAAGTTTTTACCTCACTTTAAACTGTAGTCATGTAAAAAATTGTTGTTGTTGCTGCTGTACTTTTTTGTTTTTTAGTAATTGTTTTGTGCTACGCTTTGTTTAAACGCTAAAAAAGGTTGTTTTTTGGTTTAGCAAGTATCTCGTTATGTTTTTTATGTTTCTTCTGTTAATGCTTACTTGCTCCTTGAACTATACATTATGTAAAGTATATAAGGTGTGCCCACAACAGCATGTGCCTGCATAAAGTGGGGCCAGATACCTGCACACACTTGCGTGCACACGCACACAATTACAGTTAAATATTCACTAACAATTATTTACTTTAGTAAAACGTTCAAATTTGCGCATAAATTATTGTATTACTTTTGTTTTCCGTTCGCTAACTTTCTTTCGATCATGCTATATGTCTCTATATATTTTTTTACAGCTTTCACTGTGTGTGTGTGTGTGTGTGTTGTGCTTAAGGGACAGGAGTTTGGCTTGATCCGATCGGTTTTCGTTCTCTAAGTGTAGAAAACAAACACAAAACATAAAAAAATTCGTTAATTTTCTATATTTAAGTGTATATCTATGTAGATATAGAATTATCGCATATACATATGGATATATATTTAGAATTATTAAACGTGCTCTGTTCGCCATTCGTTTTTTAAGTATGTAGCTTTTGTTTTTATGTTTCTTGTAATACTGTAGCAGCCTCCATGTTATGTATATATATCTATTATATGCGCGATCATATTGATCATCGCCTCTCGAATACTTTTGCCTCGCCTTCTGAGATCAAGCAAAACTGATGTCCTATAAGCACCAGATCAGATATAAATCCTAGACACTGAACTCCTCTAATTACTTAATTCTGTTTTTGTTTTCAATTTGTAGTATCAAGTTTCAAAGTTTTTTATGGTAGAAAAGTTTGGAGTGTAACTAACAGATTTTTGTTTTCATTTGTTTGGAAGATTTCATTGCTGCGTTTTACTTAATGTTAATAAATTTTTAAAATTTCTCATTTTCTTTTTTGCTAGTTAAGTTAAATTTGTCTTAGTTTTGTGTGTGTTTGGTTGATTTCTTTGTTTTGCTTTGCGACTAATTTGACTGCGGCAACCTTTAACCTTTTCTCTTTTTTCACAGCTGCCAGAGTGTGTGTTGTTCATATTGCAATTTTTCCTTATAATCTCATGGTTCACTCTCACTCCCCTGCCCTCCTCCTATGCTCAATCCTCAACTTCTTCAGCTCCAGGCTCCAGGCAGCTTCTTTCCTTCTTGTGTTTTTGTTTCGTTTAGTTATGTTGCCTTACTTAAATGCTAAACAAGAAGAATTTTGCTATTGCAACGCTTTTGGCCGGCGGTTTATCGGGGGGACTTGGGGATTGGGATTAGGATGTTCATGTAGTTAAAAAAGGGTTTCGTTTTTTGGGTATTTCGGGTATTTTGGGGCCTTTGCCGTTTCGTTGTGTCGTCATTTTTGAGAGAGCTCCTTCTCCTTCTCCTGCCGCCTGTTACTTTCTTGTTTTCTCTTTGTTCGTGTGTATTACACATACTGTTTTGTTGCGCTTAGTTACCGTTATACCATGCATATTTATATATGTGTGTTGTGTGTGTGTGTGAGTGAGTCAGGATGTTTAGATTCAGGGTGAGATGGTTTAGGGTGCGCTGCTGCTGCTGCTGCTGCTGCTGCATCGTATTTCACTTCCATTCGGGTCGCTCTACTTGGCCTTGTTCGTCTTAAAGCTGACCTGCAGCACTCGATTGCCCATGGTGTAGCCGTTGAGCGCCCGAATGGCCATGGCCGCCTCGTCGTAGTTAGTCATGGAGACGAAGCCGTAGCCCTTGCACTGGTTCGTTGTGGGGTCCTTGACGATCTTCACCGATTGCACAGCCCCGAAGGGACCAAACAGCTGCCACAGCGCTGCCTCCTCCGTTTCCGGTGCCAGGTTGTAAATGAATATGGGATACGCACCGCCCGGGCCGCTGGCCAGCGTTGTGGCCGCCGCCGCCGCCGCTCCCAGTCCGTTGGGCAGCATCACGTCCAGCATGTCGCCGGCCATTGGCGAGAACCGGGCCAGTCCCTTGTTCACCGGCGTGTGCATGGCGCCGCCGATCCGACGCACCAGCTGCGGATTGAGGAACGCGGGCAGCTGCGGCTGGATGATCTTGCTCGTGCTGCCCGGCGTATTCGAGAACTTCACCACAATGGGGTCCGTGCAGCTGGACGGCGTGGTGCCGTTCAGGGCAATGATGGCCCTGGTGGCCTCCTCCCGCTTATCGAACCGAATGAAGCCAACGCCCTTGGTTTGCGTATCGTTGCCGGCGTTCTGCAGAATGCGCGATGTGATTATGGCGCCGAAGGGGGCGAAGATGGCCTCCAGTTCCTGCTGGGTCATCGTCTTCGGCAGCCCCGACACATACAGGTTGGCGCCCTTGATGGCATCCGACGACGGCCGGGCGAACGACACCTTGATAGTCTTGTTCTGCAGCCGCAGACCGTTGAGCACATTGACGGCCTGCTCGGCGTCCTGCGGCCGGACGTAGTTGACGAATCCGTAGCCCAGACTCTGGCCCTTGCTGGGCGCCTGCGGATTGAGGGGATCGATGTAGACCTGCGACTTGTCGCGTATCAGCTTCACCGACTCGATCTCGCCGACGCTGGAGAACAGCGAACGGATCTCGTCCTCGGTCATCGTTTGCGGCAAGTAGTTTACAATCAGATTTGTGCGCGTCTCCGTGCTGCCGTTGCTGCCATTCTGGGCTCCCGATCCGGCATTGCCGTTGGTGTTGGGCTGCGCCTGCTGCGGCTGCGGCACGACTGCCTGCTGGACCGCCGCCTGCTGCACCACCGCCGCCGCCTGCTGCTGCTGTTGCTGCTGTTGTTGCTGCTGCTGTTGCTGCTGCTGCTGCTGCTGCACCACCGCCTGTTGGGCCACAACGGCCTGCTGCTGCTGTTGGAGCTGCTGCGTAACGGCGGCAGCGGCCGCGGCCACCGCCTGTTGTGTCTGCTGCTGCTGCACCTGCAGGATCGCCTGCTGCACCTGTTGCTGCTGCAGCTGGGCGGCGGCGGCCACGGCGGCTGCATTCTGTACGGGCGCGGCGGCCGCATTTGTTGCCGCCACCGCAGCAGCGGCGGCTGCACTCTGCATTAGCTGCGCCTGTGTGTCCACTCCGCCGCCGGCTCCGGTATTTGCCATCATAAAGTCCACTGGGTGGTGGTAGGATCGGGAGGAGTCGAGTGGTTAGAGTTGGTTGACACGACCAACGCAGGGGCAGGCGCATGGAAATAATAGTTAAATGTCAAGATTAAACCATTTGCAAGATGTGTTAGTAGCTCTTTCTTTTATATACTTTTAGTTATGGTAGGTTAGTTAGTGGGAACAAGGGGGCTAGTGTTTTATGGGTAAATGGTTTTGCTCGCTTTCAATACTAAAGCAAATATTGGAATAGATACCCCTAAATAATTAACATATTTATATTATTGTCTGTATCCCGATTAAAAAATTAGGTGCTTTTTGGAAATACAAATCCATGTGTAACATTGTTATGACAAGCCTGCATAGGTTTTCCTCAACTTTGTACATTTTAAGGACCTTAGTTTGTCTGCATCCCCATTAGTCTCTCCCTCTTTTTGCGTTAGCGGTTAACGGCTACTCTAAGGAGCTTTGCTCACTGGCGCCGCCCAGCGGCCCACTTTCTTTTCTAGAGTCTCTCTCCCTCTCTCGCTCACTTTGTCTGTATTCTGCCCTCTCTTCCCACACCCCCAACATCGAGAATCAAAGCTCCCCAGACACCGAAACACACACATCACTATTGAACAAACACACACCTTCGACACAAGAGGAACTGAACTTTGCTGGATTTCCGTTTTTGCTCGGTCGGTGATTTGTGTGCTTTTGCGGTTGCTTTTGTTGTGCGCTGCGCTTTTTACCGAACACTAATTTTAAATTTGTGTGTTTTAGTTACACTATCGGTGGCAGAGCAAAAAGCGAGACCAGATCCGCTGCGTCACAGGAACAAGATGATTCTGAGGCAAGCGCAGGACTTTTTGGCCAGGCTCTGCGCTCTAGCCGCTCTTTTCCGTTTGCTCTCTTTCCCCCTACCAATTCACCAAATTCCTTTTCGGCGAACTGTTACAGCGCTCTCTCAATGTGTGTTTCTGAGTACCCCGCCCAGTTATGTAATGCGGCAGCAAGAGGGTTAAGAGGAGCCCAGTATAGGCGAGAAATCGACTCGCACCCCTTGAACAAAAACAAAACACACCAAAAATGAGCAATAGGCAGACCCACCCTTAACCAAACAAATTGTAATATTTCGTTTGCAAAACGCAACGCAGAACGCCGGCTTCTATGTACAAGCGAAACTTAAGCTTAAGGGTTAAACGCGCGACATAGCCACCCCCTAAGCCGGGTCTCCCATTTACATGGAAACGCTGTAAGGGCGCAGAGGCTGCGAAAGAGGGGGCCATGACGAGAGAGACGCTGAGAGAGAAAGACATCGACTGTTGCTTGGGCTAAAACTAGCGGATATTTCGGTTCAATGAACCAAGTGCGAGAGAGATAGACGGGCAGTTTGAAAAACGATCATCGTGGAAATCATAGAATTTCCATTGACTCACATATGGACAGTAGGACCTTTTAAGATATTTTAAGTTATTTTAAACCTAGTTTGAAGTTTACAAAATGTGATTTTTTTTTATAATTTTCTTTTTAAACCCTAATTGGTTAATTTAGAATTAGATCATCTGCAATTAAAGTACACTGAAAAAGGTTAGTTTAAACTAGTTAGGCATAAATTTACTATGTATGTACTCATTAACGGCATTTGAATTTTTTTTTGCCAAAATGATTACGAACTTTCTGATTTGGCACTTGCCGCATAGTTATTGGAAGGAAATAAATGAAATCTTTATTTTTTTTAAATAGTTCGCTACAGAAAATTGCAGCATAGTGATTTTTTTCACTTGCTAAGCCAATTCGCACAGTTTTTAGTGCCTACGAAAGAGTCAAAAGGTCACACGTCGTCATTCCATTCCACCCCTATTACTCCCACATATACCCCAGTGGCGCACATACAGTAATCCCCAGCTCGCTTTACTATCGTCTCGATAACTACGCAATTACTAAAACGCGGATCCATTAAAAAACATCTTGTAAGTGATCTTTAAGTTTTAAAATTAAATAGTTGCACGTTTATAATAAGTTAAGCTAGGCAAAACTTCTCGTTGGGAGTGTTTGGTTTATCGAGGTTTGATTGTGTCGCTTGGACACCGCACCCTTTAAGAGGCTCTCTTTTATATCATTCGTCCTCCGATCTCCATTACCGTTAGCATGCTCTTGTCAATACTCACTTGTTTTAATTTGGAGCGCGAGTGTTGTGTTTTTGGGGAGGTGGTTGTTTTTTGTTGCTGTTTGGCGGCCAAACAAAGTAAATTAATTTGCTAAGTTCTCTCTCTCGTGAAAATTCTAATCCTTGTAATACGCGCGCGCACACTCACGGCGCTCCTTACACTCTCGCTCACTTTCTCTCGCTCACACACGCTCCGGTGGTCCAGGACTTTGGTGTTTGTTGTTTGGTTGTAATGTAATCGGTTTTTGTTAATAAATAAACGCTGGCGTCGTCGTCGTCGCTGCCGTCTAACAAAAACAAAAAATAAAACAAAACAAAAGAAGCGGTAAATTTTATGTGTTTGCTAGTTGTAGGTTTAGTTTTTAGTTTTTGGTTTTGTTTTAGTTGGGGGTGGTGTGTGTATGTGCGCTAGTGTGTGCATGTTCGTGCGTTTGTTATCGCAAATCGATTTTATCGATTTTCCCCCTCAATCACATCATTCATTTCATATTTTCACACGCAAAAAAAGCAATACAAAAAATTATTTTATACATAGTAGCGAGAACATTTGTGTTGTTGTTTGTTATACAATTCTATTGTGTGAGTGGCTATTTTTGCGTTATTTCAAATACCCAAATGCTCATTATAACAGTATCTCTCACTCTCTCTGTGGCTGCACTGAATTGTATATATTTTTTGTTTTTTTTTTTTTCATTTTACGGTGGGTTATGAGGGCGTCAGAGGGCGGTGGAGAGTAGATACAATGTATGGCTGCTATTGTTTTTATACCCACATATACGTAAGTGCGTACGTATTTGATATTTTGTTAAAACAAATCGCGTTCTCTCCCACGAACACAAACGAACACACACTGCCATTTAGTATCTATAAGTTATTTGTTGGAACTAAACATGCGCTGCTGTTTGTTGTTTATATTTCTTGCTCAAAAACTTTTTTTGGAACTATTCCTATTTGCGTTTCCGCGCCATATCCCCCAGTTACAATTTAAGTTTTTGCTGCTACTACTGCTATACTGGTTTTTGTTTGGTCGTGTGTGTGTGATTTTGCTTTTTATGGCAACCGGCGTTTTGTTTACTGCAAAAATTCTCTGCCACCCGCAAGCACTTTCAAACTCTCTTTCTTGGGCTGACAAAATGTCTACTTCTACCTCTATCGGTTAACTTTTATTATTCTTGTTGTTTTTGTTGCGTACAATGCTCCTTGCACATAAAATCGATATGCTAGCTGCGCCCTTTTTGAAACTCGCGCTCTCCCGCTTTAGCACGCTCACAAACAAACACACACAGAGAGGGATTTGAGCATTTACAGATACACAGCACACAGAGGCGTCTCGTCTCGCATTAGCAGTAGATTTTAACGCAACTACTATCTCCGGACTGGACTAGCCGCCCCCTCTCCACTTTGACCAACCGCCGCCCATTTCTCCTTGGCTCTCTTTTGGACATTTTTGGCCCCATCTTTTCGCTCTTCATCGAATTGCATATTGTTGTTTTGCCTATTATTATTTGTTTGCATGTATTAAACTTCCACACCACACACGCTCCCACTATAGCGGGCATAAAAAAATACATAGATAAATATATGTAGACACTGAAATATATGTGTGTAATTGCACAATTATGCAGCGCGGCGCGATCGTTTTGCAAAAAAAAAAAACAAAGTGTACAATTTCAATGCGTTTGTTTGTTGTTGTTTGTTTGGTTGCACAAATATCTCCGGATATCCGAGGGATATTCTTACATTTCGATCGGTTTGAGATTCGCTCGTTGCAACTGCTCGGCCAATAGCTGGATTGTAGTTGTGGTTTTGAGTCGACTTGACGGTTATTGTTTCGCACTACTTTCGAAAAAAAAATCAATGGCAGAAAGAGCACACAGGCACGAGACTTCGACTTTCTTTTAGGAGCGTTTAAACTGCGGCGGACGATGGTTGGCGTGGAAATGAAATGAAAATAATGAAATGCGAAATTGCGGGATTGACGGTATCATGGTAGAATAAGTATGACGGAGTCTCATCGGGCTTGTCAGGGCGTTAACAATACCTACTATGAGCGTGAGTGAAAGGATGGTTTTCAATAAGTGTAAAAGAGTTCGCAATAGAGTGTTTTGTCTAACCCTTGTGTAGTTCATGGGGCTTGAAATGACTTGTCATATAACAATAAGTGAATTTTTTGTATAATTTTTTATTTTTTGCTAGTGCTGCAGAAGTGCAGCCTCTCTCCTTCATATATTGTTTGCCTCGCTAAACATTTGTGATTTACAATTAGTTAATTTCTTTTCCACACAAGGGTTAATATTTAAAAAATCCTCAACCTTTCAGTTTGAATATCACAGATTCAATTCCTGTACAGAATGCCTGCAATCTTGTCCTTTTGGGGGCGAGACTTGGTTTTTTTTTTTTTGCAAGAACAAGTTGGGTTGATTTATACACACAGAAACTCAAACTACAGTAGGTTGTAGTTTGAAAATCTTAAAACTTTTGCAATAACCCAAAAAAGCCATCCGACCGTTGACGAACTGAATCTGAACCCGAACTTTTTCGTCCGCTGGAGGCGCTGCTAACAGATACTTTACAGAAATTCTTAACATCGACAATGTTGGCCTCAGTGAACCCGAACGTTAACGGACTGAACCCGAACGGCTTACCATGCTCTTGGAAATGCAATACATGTTTGAAGCAATCGTGGAGCGTGGAAAGCAGCAAGAGAGAGAGAGAGGGAGCAAAAGAGAGTGGCGACATGGTCGTCGGCGAAAGCATTTTATTGGGGCGAAAGGAAAATAAAATTGCTTATGTTCAAGAAATACATACATAAGTGAATAGTGTTATTTCGAAATATGGTTTCATCAGTTTCAGTTTAGACTAGTGATGTTTGTTAAAAACAATTCTACACTTTCAGTTCAACTATAGTGATTTACAATAAACTGGTTTTATTGAAGGAAAATCCTGACCCTCTTTGCTACGCCCTTGCACACCTGATGAGCTCTCAGTTAACGAATAATTTTCATGAAAATAAACCAAGATATTTAATAAGTTCGATTTTTTTTATCGAACAAAAGTCAAGCGTTATCAGAATAAGAAAGTCGCAAAAATAAATTAAAGCTTAGATCATAAACCATCAAAGTGCAAGGGGTGAATGTTAATGCTCTTTTAATCGCGGCTTAAACCGAGAACATAAATGGCTATTTGCTCAGAGAGAGAGAAAGATATCTTAAAACCGGAAGAGAGGGCATATCAGAGTTTTTAATGATAATTTCGATTTTAGCGCTTGAATAAATAATTTTTGAATCTACGCGCTTAACTAAAAAAACAACATATTCAATTATTGTTAACGACTTAGTGTTGCTAAAAGTATTTAACACATGTTTCGATGTATTTGCAAGATGAACATGATTTTGCAAATCATTGCTTTGGGCTTTTTCCAATGAGGTCGTCAACCGTTTTATGATGCACGCGACCATTATCCTTGCCAAATAGCCAAGCTCTAAGGGCTGTTTTGGGTTTATGGTTCAATTTCCGTTATTATTTTAATTTTTTTTGCACTAGCAACCACCAACGCCAAAGGTTGGGGTGGTTTTGGCATGCAGCGTGCCTCGTACACCCCCTACCCGAGAAAAATAAACCGAAAAACAAGAATCCAGGACCCATTTCCAAGAGCCGGGTCAATTTCAACACACTGCAATCCTGCTGCTTTTCAATGTTTCCCTTCGTTTTTGTTGCGTGCGTGTGCTTAATTGCGCTTGTATTTGGCACTCGACACGCCACACAGTCCTATATATGCTACATGCATGCATCGTACGTATATAGCCACCCTTCGACCACTCCCCCAACCCTTGTAACTTCCTGTTCCATGTGCTGATTTTTTACCCTGTTCCAGTCGGTCGCTCTGTTCCAATTTACAAAACAGGAGACGAAGTCTAAAACTCGCGATAAGAAGTACAGGCAGCCCCCTTAAAAAAAAAACGCTTTTGTAAATGAATAAACATTAAAGCCTCAAAGTTTGCTGTAAATCGGTTTCCCTAACAAATTCACGTTAGCCAGGCTGCACTGCACTCGGAGTTCTGTAAGGCAACTCTTGGCAGAGGGTGGTTTTCGCCGTGCCTTGCGAAGGGTGGTGTTGGTGGTGTGGTGCCAGTGGCAACGGATATGTGGTAGGGGCACTGCTGTTGTCCTCGCAGGATATGCGGATTCAGATCCAGACAGATCGGCGTCGCAAGTGTTTGCTTAGCATACAAATCTGCATATGCACATACAAATGAACGAATGTATGTATGTATATGTATATACACTCTTCCGATGTTTGATAAGTTCAACTCAGTGGTGGTCGAGTTTTAGGATTTGCAAATTAAGCTAAAAGGATTTCCTTTGCATATAAAGTTTGCGTATTATACTCGCACATTTATTTATATAACAAATTTTAGCTTCAACAACTGATATGATAACTGAGGTCCGAGTTAAAATGAGTCTTATCGGATCCATCATGGGATCCCATCACCGATAATTACATTAAAATTATATTAGCTTTCATTTTGCTGACGCATGCTGATATTCTTTATTCTTCCGCACATTTTACCACAGATTCTATTCCAAAACAGTAGGCAACACAAGTTATTTCAAAAGTTCGAAGAAAGGGAAGTAGAAAGGGCAATCCCAAAGCGAAAGCGAAAGGGTTGCCTAATCCGTTTTAGCCACGCCAGAAAATAAAACCAAACAAAAACAAGAGAGAAAGCAAACTTCGGCAACCCGAAGCTTATATACCCTTCCAGTCAAAATTCAGATTATAATTTTATAACTTGACTCTTCACAAATCTATAGCAACAAGATTTGTTCGTATTGTAAGTTATATTCTTATAGGGCGTGTATGTCTAGATCTACTTAGAAGAGGTTGCTGATGATGAAGAGTGTACATATGACTGAAATTATAGGACCCTCTGCAAGGGTATAACAACAACCGCCCGGCGTTACAACAAAGCGGGATTAAAAAGCAGGCCCAACACAAGATTACAACAAAGCTGGTAGATTCAGTGGGATGGGATGGGGTGGTCTGCTCTTTTTTGCCCTCTCGAAGGGGAGGGATTCCGGAAGAGCCGCTGCCCACCCTTAGCGTTACACAAACACCCAACCGAACAGGATGGCGTTAACCAAAACGAACCGAACCGAAAGTTATGCTGCACCAAAGGCCAGGAGACAAGCAAGGACTCAAACAGGAACTGCAGCCGAAAGCGAAACTGGGCGAGTTGGCATTCGTTCATGCACTACACTCGAAAAATGTATTTGCACTAATAGGAAATATAATTCCAGCCCGATTTCAAAGCATTCAAATTATTAGATTTAAATGAATTAGGTTCTCTAACTCTCTCGCTAGATATTTGCCTGTCTGAAAGCCCAATAACTCTGTGAGTTTTTAAGTTAATTCCTACAATCTGCCTTTATAAGACTTTCCCGGCTTTCCCAGGGATCTGGGTTTCTCTTTGTGTATGCATCGGGCGATAGCCACCCCCTTTAAGGTCCTTTCTCTTTCGCATATTTACATAATGGTCCTTAGGGCGCTTTTAACTTTGCACGTCTCACTGAACAAACGTCCAGGATCTCCAGCCGGATCCGAATTGGACAGGCAGGATCCTAGCCGATCTGCCGCTGAGAGCAGGGCGACAGATGCACTTTTCCCCCGAAGCCCCGAAACTAATGGTAATAATCATAAAAATTACCATAAGAGCAACGCACGATCGGTGCAGGAGTGGGAAAGAAGGGAGGGACGCCAGGAGGGGGGGTCGCAGGACATTCCGGACTGGAATTGTGGCATGTGTTTCCCCTCTCCCTTCTTTTCCGCAGACGGCATTGTTTTCCCGTTTGTGTTGTGTTTTTGTTGCCGTTTTCCCATTCAGACATCCTCGCCATTGTCGCGGTGCAGCCTGCTCTCGTTCCGAATCCGATTCGGTTGCAGTCCTTGGGGTTGCGATCGTGATCACGGCCAAGGACTCGCCACCTGGCCTCCTAATCAGGATCACGAATGCCAAACTGCAGTGGGTGAATGGCGCTGGAGGAGGGGGAGGTTCAAAAGGCAGCAAGCCAGCCAGGAGTTGTAAAACATTTGATTTTGCGAAAGGAAATGGGAAATTAAGCCATGATTAATTGCCCTGCTATTGTTAACCTACTTTTATCTTGATGCTGCCTGAAGATCTTATTTTGAAAGTTACGGACTTATAGCCTGGGTTCTATCGTGATCACAGAAATATTTTAAAGGGTAAACAAAAGTCTAGCGTGTTTGAGCCCTGTCGCAATTTAGTAGTGAGCTGTAAAGTTCGCAGAAAATTGTGTTCCGACCTAACCCAATGTTAATGTTTTCAGAAAAAAGGACTTCTTTATGAATCCCTTGAACCCCTTGAGGAGGATCAGTGGCCAAAGGGGTTTCCTCAATGATCCTCGTACCACTCTTTGCCCAATAAGAAAGGCAGCTACCCGCACTTCGAGGGCTTCTCCTGCTTCTGCCCCTTCCGCTCGTCAGTTCGGTGATCCTTCGACTGGAACCCACGACTATTTGTTTACACGTCAGCTGTTTGCCGCCCACCCACTTCCCCGAACTATCCATGTTCCCATATAGCCTATATACCCTATCCCCTGTTCTTGTAGCATGCCACGTTCTGTGCTGTTCCATCTTATTGAGCTCACTGTACTCTGCCTGTCATTTCAGTTTGCCCAAGGATCAGTTGGTTTACATCGGACTCCGGGACATTGACCCCTACGAGGCGTTTATACTGAATAAGGTCGGGATACGCTACTACGCGATGGATGTGAGTACACTGAGAGCAATTCATTTGCTCCTAAAAATGTCATTAAACATTAGATCCCATCATACCTATCATAACATCATCATCAAACAGTTAAGCTATGAAAATATTCCTGCATATAGTTTAATATTAATTTGTAGTGGTAAGAACTTGCATCTGATGGGTTTTTCTTTCTGTGTAGAAACTAGAGAAAGGCAGCCGCATCTAGGTAGACAGCCTTGGTCGTCCTGGTCCTGAATTTCACTTTATTTCACTGCATTCCAGTTTGGTTTCTCGGTTTTCGGTTTTCGGTTCTCAGTCTCGCTGGCAGTTGTAAAAATTGTAAAATTCCGGTTTCCCCCTCCCTGTTTGGTTTACAGGCCAGGATCGGATGACGATCGTGCGTGACTGCCGAGGGCATTACGCTCCTTACGTTCCTTCGTCCTTTCCTGTGTCTGTGTGTGTGTGTGTGTATGTGTTTGATGTAAGCTTGGCATTTATAGGGGTTGTCGCAGAACCTACCACTCCAACCCATCCCACAGTTGCCACCCCCCGTTACAGGACTTCCGATCCGATCCGATGCGATCCTAAAGCGAGAAACGGTGGTGGTGACTCACACACTCGGAACTACGTGCCTGGCCACATCCGCATCCGCAGTTCGCCGTTCGCAGTTCGCATCCTTGTCAGGCACGGCTCGTTGTCCATTATTTATGGCTCGTGCAAATCGACGTCTGTTGAAAAATGGTTTAATGCCCTCGCTCCCGATTTTCCGTTTTCCCGATTTCGGTGCGAATTTCCGGCCCAGCCAAAGCTGCAAATTTATTGTCGCTCATTAGTTCGATCGGAATTGGAATATTTTCCAATGGATATGCGAAAATGCGATAGGGGAGGTGCCAAGGATTTGGCAAACTGCAATGGGCGGGGGTCTGATCGTTGATGTTGTACAGTCGCGATGGCGAAGGATAATTGAAGGGACAACCCAAGCACTACAATTAGTTTAAACAGCCCAGAAAGAAATGTAACCAATTTGAAACTGGGAAGCCAAATGTTTTCTAGTCCTTGAAATCCGATACAAAATTAAATGGAGGCTGTACTTCAGAGGGAAATCATCTCAATATCATAGTTCACAAATTCCCCGAACACCTTCATTCACTCGACATGCATCGCTTTCCGTAAGAATTTCCAAAATCAGAGAGCCCTTTGCCCTTTTATCAGACGATCGATCGCGTGGGCGTGCCCAAGATCATCGAGATGACGCTGGACGCCCTGGATCCGCACAACAAGATCCACGTAAGCTTCGACATTGACGCCCTGGACAGCAACGTGGCGCCCAGCACGGGCACCGCTGTGCGCGGCGGCCTCACGCTCCGCGAGGGCATCAGCATCGTGGAGGCCCTGAGGGACACCAAGCGGGTGCAGGGCGTCGACCTGGTGGAGATCAACCCGAAGCTGGGCAGCGAGCGCGACGTGCGGACCACCGTGGAGTCGGGCCTGGAGATCCTGAAGAGCATGTTCGGCTACCGGCGCTCCGGCCACTGGAGCAACATCGACACCGGGATCCTGGGCAGCGATTAAAGAACACAAGAACGACGCCAGCTTGGACTTATCAATATTTATGTACAACATTCTTGCCATATTTGTGTGTGCTTTTTTTTCTCGTATCTTAATGAAAGAATAAAAAATTAGTTTAAAGCGACGGGGAAGCTTCGGTTAGCGCATTGCAGACTGAGATTCGCTGGCAGCCAGCTAGAGGCTGGCTTTCAGCTTCGTGGGCGCCGTGGGCAGGTAGGCCGAGATGTCGACGCTGGCCATCAGGTTGGCCGTGTGCAGCAACTCGTTGACAGGCGGCGCAGTGGCAGCCTGCGAGGGAACGGAGGTCGACGGAGCAGCCACAGACGTTGGAGCAGGCTTGGTGGCGTTTAGCCGATGGTACAACTCCGGAGCCAGGGCGCGCAGCAGGCGACGCTGGATGCCCAGAAGCAGGGCATTAATGCCGCCCGAGATGACAATGATCCCGGATATAATGGAGCACAGACGGATGGCGAAGGTGACCAGGTGGTCGCGGTCGTTGTCCACCACAATCTTGAGCGCCGACCAGTCGTACTTGAAGTAGATGCCGGGGGAGCCGTACGAGTTGCGTTCGGAATCTGTGGGGAAAAGGGGCGTCGATTAGGATCGCTTAGGAATACAGAAAATCTTCTCTAACGCATTAGGAATTTACTTCTTCAAATGACTTTCCCAAAATGTATTTTTAACTACATATTATTTCTCACCTAGCTTCCGCACATTCTCGGTGACGGAGTACTGGAACGTGTTGATGGTGCTGAATGTCTGGCGGATCTCCGTGGGCACCACCTTCAGGAAGTATTGCACAGTGGTGGCCTCCTCGTGGATGACCGTCTCGTCGCCCTCCAGCGGCTGCACGATCCGCCTCGAGTACTGCCCGAAGCTGAGCCGGTTGATGCGGTGCGTGAAGTTCGCCGGCATGCGGCGCAGCTCGATCATCCAGTGATCCTGGAAGAGACCCACCACCGGCTGAGCCCCGCCCACGAGGTGGAGCACTCCGGCCACCTTGTTGATGCCCAGAGTGCCGTGCAGGCGGCACGCATCGAACTTGTTCTCCGGCAGGGCGGCGTTGTGCTGGCCGTTGGGCAGCTGGATGTCCATCAGAGCTCCTGGCGGCGGAGCAGCGGGGACCTGCGAGGGGTTCTCGCGCGCCGGGTGCGGGTCTCGCATGATGTCCTTGAACAGGACGTCGGCCAGCGAGTGGAACTCCTCGCGCAGATAGTGGTTTTGGATCTGGATGGCCTGGAACTGCAGCCGATCCTGGTCGGACATCTCCCACCAGACGCCCTCGCGCTGCAGAGTTCCGTAGGCGAAGACATCCTGCTGCGTTTCATCCATGAGGTCGACGCCGGATAGGGAGGCGCACGGCATGGCCACCGTGATGTCCACGTGCATCTGCACCTGCTCGTCCAGAGCAATGTCCGGCTGGAATTGATAGTAAATGTCCGTTTCGTGCCAGTAGTAATGCAGTTCGGTGTACACCAGATAAACTATCAAAAGGCGGCTGAGCAGGGAGACTGCGGAGTAAAAGGTCGACGGTTAATCAAGAAACGTCATGTGCTCCACGTCGACTTACGTGTTCCCCCGATTTCCGTGGTCTCCGTGTACTTTTCCGGCACTTTTTTGAACGCATCCAGGTTCTTGGCGAACTCCAGGAGATTGCTTTTGTCGCCGCGATAACGCAACGTGGCCGTCATCTTGGTGGGCGGTTGGGAAAGCTTCTGGCTGTCGAATTGCACGCTCAATTTAACGACCACGGTTTCTGTTTCATTGCCACGTACTCCGCAGCTCCACCGCAGTCACTCCGCCCTCCTTTTCCAGCGGGTTTACTGGTTCTTCCTTCTCCGGTGGTATGTGCAATGCCTTGAGAAGTCTCGTCTTAACCACAACCCTAGTTTATGACTACCATTAGGCGTTGTAAGTATTTGGTTTTGTAAATAAACAAATCTGCTTTGGAAATTCCACGATTTATTTACAGCCGGTGTACAAAACAGCTGGGTGGCCGCAGAGTTGCCACATGGCGAAACTTGAGTTTACATGTGTTCTCTGACAAAGAGAGAACGATATGCAACTCGTGTAATATACATGGACGGTTTTTATGTCGAGAAGGTCTTTCCCAGGAGTCTGCTTGGGTGACTCTTGGATACCAGGACTTTCTCTTCTGCCAATGTGACGGTCTGATTTTAAGTCACCAAATACCAGGGGAATATAAATTCTTAGTAGGTGGCTGCCTAAGCCGATAAACTAGCAGCGGCCTTAATCTATGCGAACAGCAACACTTTTCCCATACAAATTTGGATATTTCTGAACTTCAACACCAGGAAAACATAACCGCTTAGCAGGTGGAAATCGATCAGCTGATCGCTTAATTTTTGGTTGTTCAGTGTTGAGCGCGTGACAAGTTATTCTTGTCACGCCAACAACAACCACATGGGAATTTATTAATTTCTCGTGCGCGGCGTGTCACTTTCGTGACACGCACAAAGAAACAGCATGGTTTCGCATCTCTGGTATGATGCTTACTTAAAAGAAACGGTACCTTCCAGCGAGATGGCTTTCTGATTGGTGGAAACAGGGAGGGGAAGCGTAACAAGGACAACTATCTTATAAAAAGAACAGTTATTTGAATAAGATCAGATTTACCTGCTGCAACCTGCTATAAGTTATGTTGGCCTGGTGCATAAAACCGATTTGTATAGCAAAATCGGCTGGTTTTAAGACCCCATATACCAGGCAAACAAAACTTCGAAGTAGGTGAATGCGCAGCACTGCTATAATGTATAAAAACAACAACACTTTTCCCATACAAATTTGGGTGTTTCTGAACTTCAACACCAGGAAAACATAACCGCTTAGCAGGTGGAAATCGATCAGCTGATCGCTTAATTTTTGGTTGTTCAGTGTTGAGCACATGGGAATTTATTAATTTCTCGTGCGCGGCGTGTCACTTTCGTGACACGCACAAAGAAACAGCGTGGTTTCGCATCTCTGGTCTGATGCTTACTTTAAAGCAACGGTATCTTCCAGCGAGATCGCTTTCTGATTGGTGGAAACAGGGAGGGGAAGCGTTTCAAGGACAGCTATCTTAAGAAAGAACAGTTATTTGAGAAAGATCAGATTTACCATCTGCAACCTGCTATGAGTTATGTTGGCCTGGTGTCTCAAATCGATTTGGGAAGCAAAATCGGCTGTGTTTGCGACACCAAACACTAGGAAAACAGAAATTCGAAGTAGGTGAATGTGCAACAGCGCTAATTTGTATAAAACAACAACAATTTCGGCTAGAAAATTGTGACGACCTGAATTAAGACACCAGGCAAACATAACCGATTAGAAAGTGGAAAACGATCAGCTGATCAACGCTTGATGCTACTTTTAAGTAACGGTTCTTTCCAGCGAGATGGCTTCTGATTGGTGGAAACAGGGTGGGGAAGCGTGCCAAGGACAGTTATTTTAAAAAAGAACCGTTATATAAGTAAACTCAGATTTAACAGCTGCAACCTGCTACGAGTTATGTTGGCCTGGTGTCTAAAATCGATTTGACAGGCAAAATCTACTGTTTTTAAGACACCAAATGCCAGGCAAACAGAAATTCGAAGTAGGTGAATGCGCAGCAGCGGTTCATATGCACAGTGAGTGGATGCAGGGGGGTGGTCTAGGGTGTCCGAAATGTTTTTTCTGCAATCGTTCTGCATATTTAGACAATTGTTTTCCTTTTTTAACAATAATTCGAAATATTTAAATGAAATTAAATATTAGCATTTTTGGTAATTTTTTACCAAAAATTGGTGTTGACGTTTTTTAATTATGACTTGGTCAGGTTTGAAGCTAGGCTATAAGTACAGAGATATGGTTCGAAGCTTGACTTCTGCTAACAATCACACATGTCTGGGCTTGGAACTAAGATAAATATGTGGGCTATCAAAAGTAGGCAATGCAAGGAAGGATATTTCCTGCCCAAAAATATGCAACTCGTTATTTAAATTAATCCACTTTTTATTATAATCTTTTACAATTTTTGTTTTTGAATTGCGTATAGTTTTGTTTTAATTTTTAATCAAAAATCAAGGCATTATCTTATAGAAATCATTTGGATCGGGATTCGATTTTATTTGAATTTTTTTCTCAGCAAAGTCATTAATTGTAGCGCATCCTACGTGGTTGATTCCTCGTCCCTGCGCCGCTGTCCCAAGACCTAGAAAGATAATAGATTGGTTTTTAGTACATTTATTAACATATTGAATGCAAGGTATGCCAAATAATGATCGTTTTTAAAATGCTATTGTTATCAAATAATGGTTTTCCCCTAACTAGTAACAAGTAACTAAGTAAAGCTGAAATAATTTAACTATTACGAACTCATTTATTTGCGAATTCCAGTTGCGAATCCATCGAAGTGCAGCGCGCTTTAAATACGCGCCCAGGGAGGAAGGAGTCCCAAAAAGTGGCAACCGATTTGGTTTGGCCGGAAGTGAACGTTCGGTTCAGTTCGGTTCGCTGGTGGAACCGGTTCTGCCACCCCTCGACTTCGTTTCGTTTCGTTTCGAGCACCTGCTGCTGCTGGTTTTTTCGGCTGGCACATTCCACAGGCCACGGACCAGAGAATACGGAATACGGAATAAGGAGCACGCAGCACAGAGGCACGTTCCACCCCCGCGCAAGAGCAAGAGGAAGAGGAAGAGCAAGAGCAAGAGGAAGAGCAAGAGCCAGTTGGTTCAGTTGGTTCTTCAGTTGGTTTCGCCCTTAATATCGATCCCGGGCACGCGCTCTGCGCTCTTTCGGACTATCGGACATTCGGATTCAGATTCGGATTCGGATTCGGACTTTGATTCGCAGGATATTCGATTGGAGGCAACGAGTTCGCCGAGCAGCCATCGCCACTCGCAGTCGTTTGTGAGCGTTCGCAGCGCCAGGTACAGCCCACAGCCAGAGCTCCCGAGCTCCCGAGCTCCAGAGTTCCGAAGCGCACCAGAGAGCTCCAGAGCTCCAGAGGTCTCTCCGAGAGCCACCCCCTCCCAGTCCCAGTTCGTCCGTGGGGAGAAGGCCTAGGGCTGCCAGCTCTCGGCCACCTCTCCGGCTTCCGCTCCCGCTCCGAGTTTCGGCTCGAAGCTCGAAGGTTCGGACGGAGGTTTGGCGGCCGAGGAGCCAGGAGCCACGAGCCAGGAGAACCCGGAGAGACACAATCTGAGACACTGAGAGACCGTCAAGTCAAATCACTGAAACAAAATACGCTCAGTACTTTTTTTTGCTGTTCAAGTGCGAGTGCCCAAAACAAAAACAAAAACAAAAAGCAAAGCGAGAAAACAAAAAGAAAAACCATAGAAAAAACACCCCAAACAAAGTGATATAATCCTGAATAGAGCAAGCTGAGCTGAGCTGAGATGCGAACAGTGGATGCGAGTTGTGGAGCCAAGTTAGCTGGGGGTAAAATCTGCCTCATCGAATCCGTTGAATCCGTGGAAAGTGCGCAGAATCCGTGAGAATCCGTGAGAAGCGACTCGGGAGAAGTGCGCAGAAGTCGGGCGACGTCATTACGAGTCCTTTTCAGAAAGTGACAGTGAGGGGGGTGGAGGGGAGAAAGCAGAGGAGAGAGCGGAGAAAGCAGGGGGTAGAGGGGTGCAGTAGTTCGCGGGCGGGTGAAGGGTGAACCTGCGTAGGAGCTGCCAAGAGCAGAGAGGCAGAGCAGAGGACAAGTGACATGGGAGCCAACGGCTGCAGCTGACAGCTTTTCCAGCCAAAAGGACACTGGCTGCGTGGGAATCGACTTCGGAGTAGCACAACAGCCTTGTTCATCGAGAGTGTTTGGTATTTGGTATTTGGTCCGAGGAAGCATCTCAGGAAGCATCTCAAGACCCCGAAAACCGAAAACCGACGAGTTGCCACATTTGGACAGATAGCAGATAGCAAATAGCAGCGAGTGCTCTCTCCGTCCGTCTTGGGCTCTCTTCTACTACGTTCCACAATCAAATACTACGACCATACACACACACACACACACTTAGACACGCAGGAACACACAGCAACTTTTCCGAGTTGACATTTTCCCAGCATAGTTTTTGGGGCAAAGGCGAAGAAAGGAAAGGAAAGGAGAGGAAAGCGCTTCGCGGAGGGGCAGGCTACCTTCAGGCAGCAGGTAGAAGGAGCTAACTTGAGCACCGCAACTCGAACGAATCGGAGTACGAAGCTCAGAACGCAGAAATCAGAAATCAGAAACCAAAAACCTGAAATCACAAATCAGAAATCAGAAATCAGAAAACATAAACCAGAGCTCCACAATTCCGAATTGCCAATGCTAATGAAATTTTCTTGTGTTTTTGATTTCTTGTTACTGCTGCCGTCGTCCGTCTCTAAGCAGCAAAGTGTTAAACGAACAAGCCAACAACAAACCAAATACAACAGTTAAACGGTCTCCGAACCACAAATTGAGAGCCAGAGGCCACAGAGTCCAGAGTCCAGCCGCAGAAGCAGCTAAATTCAGAGCCCCGTCTGAGATTCTCAGCCAGGAGACACAGGACAAAGGAGCCAAGCAGCCAAAAGGAGCCAAGGATCCAAGGAGCTGAAAGGAGTGCGAACAATGTGCGCCGCGCTGCGTCGTAATTTGTTGCTGCGGAGCCTCTGGGTCGTCCTGGCCATTGGCACCGCTCAGGTTCAGGTGAGTCACCGAATCCACACACCACAACACACCACACACACACATACTATACCACACCACACCAAAGTACACCAGTCCCCTTCACTCTGCATTCGATACAATAGCCCCGTCGAAGAACCGAAGGAGTCAGCCGAAAGACCCGAAACACAGAAAACAGAACAGAAACACAACCAAAAACCGATGTCGACACCGAAAACAGAACACTGAGCCAAAAATTAATCCAAACTGAGTGTCCTTATTGTCTCGTTCGTATCAAAGTGTATTTTAAAGATAAGGATTAGATTAGAAAACCGCATGAAACAAATCACTGTGTTTAACTAAGTCTTAGGGAGTGAAAAGTCTTCCTTCCAAAGAAGATATTTAACTATATCCGAATCAAAGTAAAACATAAACTATAAACTCCAAATGCTCCAAATGTTACTCAAGAATATTTGACAACTTTAAAGGGGATTCCTCATATCGAATTCGGTTTTCCAAACAGCCGAATGGGATTGTGGTTTTCTTTTTTCTGCGTGCAACAGCAACACAAATCCCAACCACAGACACGGGGCTCACACACTTGCACCCGCTTACGCACACACACAGAGACACACACACACACACACACACACACACACACATAGGAACGAACTTTGGGCGAGAGACAGATACACAAACACTTGAGCGGGTTTCTGCTTTCTGCTCTGTGTTTTCCGTTTTCTGTTGTGGCCGTGGGCTAAGCAGCCGCGCAAAGTATGCTACGAAAAATGTGCCATCGCTTAGCAGCGCCGCTCGAGGGTTTTCCAGAGGGGTGGAGGGGGGTGAGGGGGTGGAGAAGTGGGCGGGTTACTGAGCCTCTGCCAAACTAACCAACAGAAGGCGCGAGTGTGCGCAAATATTGGCTTAATTGAACCGTTTTCTTTTCGCTGGCTCGGGGTTTTCCCGTGGCTTTTCGGCTTACACAACCGCAGCGCCAAACTGTAAAGCGAACTGAACGGAAAGCCGAAGGAGACACCGACCGACCAACAGCTGGCTACAACTGGCAATTTGCATGCGAAAGTAGCAGAAGTATCAGAAGTATTCAAGGCAGTTGTTGGCCAGTTTGATTTGGCTGGCAATTATCGATGAAATCGAATGAGTGGCCAGGTTCCAAGTAGCCACTGAATCGATTGCGGTCGTCTTGGACCCACAGCCCCAAGAAAATCCCTCAATTATTGCAAGGCACTCAACACTCAGCACTCAACACTCAACACTCAACACTCAGTACTCGGCACTCAGCATTCAGTAGTCAGCAGTCAGCACTCAGCTCGCTATCTCGGCATAATCCCCGAATTGCTGCTCCTGCATTCATCAGAGGGATTCTTCTCGAGCGGCGAGCGCATTTATCAATTCAGAGGCACACACACACACACAAGCACACACACACATACACTGGGATATTGTTGGCTTAAACTGAGATACTTTTTCAAATCATTTCAAAACAATTTCTGCCGGGCTGCAGCCGCTCTGCAGCTATTTCTTGGCCAACCCCCCTTTGAACCCCAATCGACGACGACGATAGAGACGACGTGCCTGGCCTTAACAATTTCCCCTCTGCGCTTTCCCCTTAAATGCGATAACTCAAAGCAATTCGCCTTGGCAACGGACAGCGAGCGGTCTTTAAGGGCGGTGGACGGTGGGCGGTGGGCGTTTCACTTTGTGGCAAAACAAAAACCTTATCAAATTCATATACGGCCAGCAGCGAGCGAGTGCAAGCAAAAGAAAGCGAGGAGCAGGGAGCGGGGAGCAGGGAGCGAGGAGGAGCTGCTGCTGGTGGAGATTCGGGATGCCAGGATGGCGGGGAGGAGGGATGCAGGGATGCAGGGATGCCAGGATACCTAGCTCAATACTAGCGACCAGGGGAGCCGTTAAGCTGCTTTGTGGGGCCCTGCACTCCTTTCAAGTCTTGTTTTGTATGCAGCCTGCAATTTGTTTTGCCCCTCCCCTCCCCCTTTCTTCCCTTTCTTCCCTTTTCTCTCTGCCCCTCCCCCCTTCCCGCCCCCTCCCCCTTTTGTTTGCCTGATACTTTAATGCCGCTATTCATGCTAGTTCGCTGCTGCCAGCAATTTATGGCCGGACCATCCAGCGGACCATCCTGGTCAGCCGCCCCCGCCTCTCACTAATCCACCCTGGGTGTTGGGTGTTGCACCCCCTCCCCCTTCTTCTTCTTCTTCCCCTCCTCCTCCCCCCAGCTTACCTGCTCACCACCTCCAGTCAACGGTCAGCGTTATCAGTGGCACGCATCGCCGTCGTCGCTTTTGTGGTCGTCGGTGGTTGCTTATGTCGCTTGTGCCCACATTCTGCATTTAGCATTCAGCATTCTGCATTTCACCTTTCGCCGCTCGCCTTGGATTGCCTTGCCTGTCCGTCTGTCACCGAGCTACACGCAGAGAAATCAGCTGCAATTACAGAAACCAAAGGGTAATTTGTTACCAAATGATATGTCATTTGAATTGCTGAAAAAGGAGTGCAACCACTCTCCGTTGCAAAGTAATTGTAATTTTTCTGGGTGTACCACTGGCACCCCAGTACCCCAACCCCCTTATCAGTGCCACCCCTGAATGGATAACCCCCTTTTTCAGCTATCCTCTCTCTCTCTGCTTGCATTTTTTCTGTTTTTGTGCCTTCCACTTTTTTTTCTTTTTGAAGGACTTTACGTTCGCATGTCTGACTCATCCGCAAGGAACAAGGAAAGCCAGAAGGCAGAAGCAGAAGGCGGGGGACAGCAGGACTGCCGAGCTGCAGGACTGACTGGCTCACAATGTGCAATATGCACGAGCATCTCCCCAAACACTCGATGCCTTCCCCCCGTTCCACCTTCCCCCATCCCCCTTTGCTCGCACCACCCACTATGTAGCCACCCACCCCGCAGGAGCCACCATGGAGTCGCCTGGCAAAGGGAACACGCAATCGTCGCTGCCAAACAAGCCATACAACCCATACAAAGTCCCTTTCTGCAGAGGACAGCGACTTGCGAGCGAAGAGGCGGCGGTGGCGGCCGGGTGTCGTTGGCCATTTGATTGTCGGCTGGGAACTGGGAACTGGTAACTGGTAACTGGGAACTGCGAACTGCCAACTGCGAACTGTCGGCCAACTTTAGCAACCCGCCCCCCCCCCACTTTCCACTCTCCGCTTGGAAAACCTCCTCCAATTGCACTGGAGTCAACTGAATTAGTCGGTTCGCTGCTTGCTGGCTGATAGAAGGCAGAGGCGCACTCGGAAGGGGGTGCTTAGAAGGGGATAGTGTAGTCCCCATCTGCCATCCCTCCATTGCCAATCCCCCCTGTGAGTCATCCGCTGGGCACCGAATGAATCATGCGGGAATGCAATCCAGCCGCCGTAACGGAATTTCCCACAGCCGCAAAACTTTCTGGAATTCCGCGTTTCGATCCAAAAATGCACTCCATCTTCCCACTCTTCACACTCAGAAAATCGCATCGGGTAATCCCAACTCGAAAATGTTGAATTATTTCCATGCCGCAAGGATAAAATCCTGCAGCTCATATCAAGTATACGCCATGGTCACGTTTTAAGTGCGAACTCTTTGATTTCTCTCCGAATCCCAATGTTTTTTTCAATTTGGAAGATATATAAAAATGAAAGTGTGATCCATCACATTCCTTATTATTATAAGTTCTTTGGGTTTTCATTTTTAGCTGCGAGTATCTGCGATATTTGCCATTTCGGGATTGTCCTTCATATTCGCAGTGTAGTAATAGAATCAGCCTCTGGCGATGTCGCCACATGGAGTTCGGTTCCCGCTCGCTCCACCGACCGCAGTTCGTGATTGGGTTAAGTTTTGGTTTCAATTCGGTTTGCAGTTGGTCAGCCGGAGTAAGTTAGTTACGCAGTCGCCGCATTCCCCACCCACTGCGAATACCTCGCTATCTGCATCTGTATCTGCATCTGCATCTGTATCTGAATCTGCATCTGAATCTGAATCTGGCCCAGCATCTCCTGCTCCATCTCTGCTCGGTGGTCCTTTTGCTGTCCTTTGTCGTGCTTCCTTTGTCATTTGTCAGTCTGAGCGTTGTCCACGTCCTGTCCATCGTTCATTAGTTGTGGTGTCGATGTCGCACACATAACATGCATGTAGGCGAAAGATGGAGCGGTGGTTTGCTGGGTTGCTGGGTTGCTTGGTCGCTGGGGGGAGAACCCTTCTCCTGTCCCATGTAACTGTGCAGTGACCCCAACTTCCCTGGGATTCCTCCTGTTTTTTCCCGCCTGTCTGTCCTTCGCAACTCGTTTGGTTTTGTTTCGACTCGTTTCGTTTCGTTTCGTTACGTTTTCTTTGGTTGCCTTGGCTTTCATGTTGGCTTGAATCGCATTGGATCAGATCGGATCGGATCGGTTTAGGTCTAGCTAGCTGGGTTGACGTATTCGTATCCGTATCCGTATCCGTTTTGTGTCGGCCATAAGAGTCCCACCCCCGAAGACCTCCTCCTGCCATCCACCGCGTATCCTGTTACAAAGCATTCACGCTTCAATGATTTTTTTCGATTATGCATTTTGCTCATTTTCATTTGAACAAAAGTTGACAAAGGACGTGGGTCGTGGGACGTGGGACGGAGGACGTGGCCAGGACATGGGCTAATGTGGCCATTGTCTGTGGCTCAGAACGATGTGTCCGAGTTGCAGGAATTAGGGTTAAGTGCTGCTGCCCGCCAGCGGTTCTCCCTCTCCCTCTCTCTCTGTGTGCCTCTCTCTTTCTGTTCGTATTTCTATCTCTATATCTATCTCTATCTCTACTGTACCCTACCCTGCCCTTCCTCCGCCTCAGAGCCTTTCAGCGGAGAGCTTTGGGCCTCTCCAAATCGCAGGACACCTTCGCTTCGAGTGGCAAGACAAAAAAAAAGGAAAAAACGAACGAAACGAAAGGAGAAGGCAAAGGGGTTGCTTGGATTCAATGCTAGGCCAACGTGGGTCAACAACTTTTATCCGGCAAGGTGACGACTTCCCAGCCCCGCTGATGAACCCGATAA